GGAAGAAAGGGAGCGAAAAGAAGAGAGAGCATACCTATTTACTTCTAGCAGCAGTTTGTCCACGACAGTTTCACTGGAGTCACGGACTTCTTGGATCAAAATGATGTCGTAACGGGCAACTACCTAAATGAGTAAATGGAATATTTTATATACAGTATAAAGTTATTCCACAAAAAAAGTGAAAATTTTGGTCGCATCAGTGACGCACACTTCATGTTATACCGCATTCACACAACTGTGTTGTACATGTATACAGGGCCGTAGCCTCCGGGGGGGCAGGGGGGGCAGCTGCCCCCCCTGGGATTTGAGGTGCAAAAAAAATAATCGCAATTTCTGACTTCTGAGTGAGCAATAAATAACAGTTAAAATGCACCAGAATGCAGTATTATACATACAGTTTTTAAAATTTTTCCACACCGTGGGACACCCCCTCCAACAACCTCCCCACTCAGGGGGCTTTGCCCCCTCGTGTCCGCTTACTGCCCCCCCTGGCATTTTGCTCAGGCTACTGCCCTGGTATATCACTTTTTAGCTATCGATTTCTTTCCATATCGAAGGGTAATTTACTATGAACAGCGAAAATGATATATAGAGCAGGTCAAAACCATACAAAGGTCCATTTATCTGTGAAATGACCCAAAACACGTAATGAAGACATTGCTAACTGACTATAAAAGAGGGATAATTGAAAGATTTCATATATTGTTGTCTAAACTTTAGAAACCTTCCAGAAACACTTGCATTGTGCTTTTAATCAGTCGGATTCTGCTACTGCGCCTTCATTTTCAAAGACAAAGTTTTATTTTTCATTAATGCGGAAAAGTAGTACCGCGCAACCATTTTGAAAGCAATGAAAATATATCTAAATACACATTTTATAATAGAATAGTAAAAAAAAAACAACAAATAACTAGGACAAAGAATTAACTGCAAGTTTATATGAATGACCTCATGACGACAGTAAGGAAGAAGAGCGGAAATTTCTTCGTTCGCCTTGTACGGCCGTTACCCATTCGGTTATGAATTCATCACTTGTCTAATTACCAAGAGGCGTCATTTCCTGACCTGAATCATGTGTAATGAATTGTGCCTTTTCATCATTTCCTAAATACCCCTTCAAAAGCTTCAAATGTAGGCCTACTGAAAGCGACAGGTTCGATTTCCACCTCCTACGAACGGTATCTTTTGTCCTATGCTTACACAATAAACGAATCAATAATTAACATGCCAACTTTTTTAGTTTTAAGGAAAATGACCCGTACTGCACAAATCACGAAGGTACATGTCACTACTTAAACTTTGCACAGCAACAGAATCACATGGATTTAAAACGGAACCTAGCGTCATTTTAATATTTTTATTCAGCTGTGTCGGAACGTGCTTGTTAAACTCATTTTCTGTCATTTTGAAAACCGTGTATTTAGTATATACATGTACATGTACTAGTATGTCAGAAAGAAAGAACACAGGGACGCACGCATTCATGCGCCCACACGGTCGTTATTTTACTCACCTTAGCAATAGTGTTCATTACAGCCGGAATGCTAGCCTTGGTTGGACCAAACACGCGGACGTTAAAGGCACCTATCTTCAGTGGAGGGGCTGCTAGTTCTGGAGCTGGAAAGACGTCGGTGGTGGACCCCAGTGCTATAGCCAGGGCAGCAAAAATGATGCCACTCACAACGCCCTGCTTCATCTTTCAGTATTTTGTTCCTCGTGATATTTTACAGACCAGGTCCAGTTCCTAAAATATTCAGATATGTGTGAGTCATGTACAATTATTTAGCGGTCAGGTACTTATCTCCTTTGTTCCTATTCGCGCTAACACTTCTAACAAGCGCCTCGTTTTGCGTTCTTTAATTTCATTGGTTTTATGTACAATTATTAAGTCGAAGTTGAGGCTTCTTCTTGGAGAATGATATTTAACCCGTCGATAGCCTGTGCAGTAGACATCAAGTGAATTATCATCTGTTCATTGATAACCTCTTTAGCCAGAGGTAAGAGATAAGTGGTACACTAAGTTGAAAATTAGACTTGGAGACCGACATAAGATTTTATATCTAACTCGGATAACATTAAAGTCCCTGTTTAACTAGGGTTTGAGACTGTTTGGGCAATGGTTTTTGCCATCTTCAAAGTTGTGACTTTGACAGTTTTTAATGTAATAAAACATTAAATTCATATACCTAGATCAATGGACTTTATAAACTCTTCTTTTGGTGTTTACTCGTAGCGTGGGCAAATATTCGTTCCCTCAGATGGTCGCCACCCAGGTGCAACAGGACACACTATAGAGCTCATTTTCATTGAAACTATCGGTCAGAGTACATCGATCTAACTCTGCAGGGACTCTCGCTGAATGCAATCAGTTTAACAGATTAACACACCTCTTCCTGGCGTTGAGTACAGTACAAAGAGCTGGCGATTATACGAGTCTTGTTACAATGTAAACAAGAGAAGGCATGTGAATCTATTAAACTGCTTGTTCAGCGAGAGTCCCCGCGGAGTTTGATCGATCTACAGAGACCAACAGTTTCATTTGTGAATGAGCCCTTGTGTACATTGTGAATATTACGAAACTGGCCTATATGATATCTATGGGCAAATGCACTTGAAAATAGGGAAACTTTTTTATGTAAACCACATCGTATTCATGGTTCAGAGTCAATATCTGACAGTAGTCAAATTTTAAAAGAATGAGATAGACGGCGTATTTAATCTTGAGGACTGGTTATCTGAGCGCATCTTTTTTCTAGCAATTATAAAAAAATAATGCATTTACATAGTGCATAAAAATTGCGATGTCTTGAAAAGATGTGTCAGCTCACTTCCACAGCGCTAACCGCGTACACTTGTTCTTGATCCTCAAACTAGAGCGCAATTTTTCACCGCTTAGTTTAACATAAATAACGAAAAAAGGTGTTGACAAAAATGAATAAAGAAACTCAAATTGTGAATAAGGCCATGGTATTTTCCAACTGTTTAAAAGGCCAACAATGCGTTTCTCTTGTTCAAAGAACTTTAAACAGTGAATTGTACTCCCAGCACTAGTGTTATACAATGTGTATCTCTATATACAGTGTATACCTGGATTACCTGTACCCTCTACCAGGGCGACTGATAGATTTTTACAGATATTCACAGATATGTCTCTAGCTAGATAGATGATCATTTTGGGCTGAAGTCATTGCAGTTGCCATAGACACATTTTAGTGAACTACATGTATAATTTTTATAGCTGGCTTCAAGTGGGACCCGGCCCAAATACAAAATGGCTGATTTATTATATACATATACGTAGTCCCGTAGCAAGGGGAATTTACTGTGTTAATTGTGATGATCTGCAATGATGTATAGATACCCGATTCACAATGCTTAACAGCAGGGGGCTGATAGTGTAGACTGTACTTACAAGTACATTGAGGACATTGGAAGTAGGAGGGGGGGGGGGACGATATGATGAACTACATATACCCTGTACCACTTTTAGTAGCTATAGTAGTGTTACATTTACAACATATAAAAGAAATGTTTACCTTCGTGTAGGTATAAGGACTACAAGAGTGTATGTATACGTGTATGCTATGAATAGGATACGTGCCACCGTAAAGTACAAAGGTATAAATGTCGATCTTCGACCATAGCTTACTTGTACGTACCTGCAATGACCAGTATAAATGTAGTACCTGCGGTACGATTCTCTCCAGTAGCACTGCCTCTCCCAAATGTGTCTTCAGCTATACAATTATACCATTCAGTACGGAGCAAAATCAGCCACCCATCCAGTATAACCTTATATTATCAAACCAATCCACAGACTTGTGTGTCGAGCAATGTCGTATTTACATTTTAAAGTGGCGTGACTAAAGGCGCAAGCGAATTCCACCCAATATAAGTGGCCGGGGAGCAGCGTATAAATTAAGTAATTCATAGCTATTATTGTGATTTGCGGCGCACTACGGTCTCGCTGACCAATATATGCCTATTATTGTTATGTCCACCGAGCGAGCCCTTGCGTTCGTATTGTTGACACGCACTTTGTTGGACTACATGCTTGACTGAATGTAAACGCACGCTGCGCAAAATTTAGCGTAGTCTTTTGTGTCGCTTTCAGTTGTTGATCCACTGTTATGAAAATGTGAGCCTTATTTATTTTATTTTTATTTTTCCTTTGTACTCTGTTGGTAAAAGGGAGTGACTGCACGAAACTCGTACGCTTGTTGTACTAGGAACCAAAATACAATATGTTGGATCTTATAGTTGTATGTATTACGAATTGGTGATAACCACAGGGCCAATGTGACACAGGATGATAGTCCTTGGAATGGGAGCTCGAGATTTTAGTTAGGTGGCGAATTTGGGTCACTAAGTGGGGCGAATGTCATCTGTGCAAAATGACGGGTAAAGTTCTATGGCTCCTAGCGGACCACGGTTCCTGCCTCGCCGGTTTTACAAAAGAGCTGTAACCCAAAAATATAGATAAACTTTTAAACCAAAAAAAAAAAAAAAAAAATAATAATAATAAAAAATAAATAAATAAATAAATAAAAAATAGAAAATAAAATAATAATAATAATTCAAGATAAATCCTTAGTCAAGTTGAATAAAGTCCATATTGATCTGAAAAATTTGACGTGTATTCTATGATATACTGTAAAAGCAGACGCAGTATTTCATTTAATGGGACTTTTACAGAGTACTTAGGTCGAAGTAGATTAACATATTGGTTTGAAAGCTTAAACAGGTTGTTAAACTATAGTTTTTCTTGGAAATCGACACCTTGGGTAGAATAAATATGCCTTTGACCCTGTTTTGCTCCATGTTAATGTATGAAAAATTATCGGCATTTCGTACATTTAACGACGGGTGCAACTAAGAATAGTGATCATAACGAGACTTAAAGTTGCATTAAAAAAACAATTCTAATACTCTTTCAATTTGCGTGGAAATAGTTTTCTCCTATATTTTGTCTTTATTAAATGCTATCATTCTAGATATGCCGGCGAGCACCCCAGTTACACATATAAATATTCATTGAATAAAACATCCTCGATTACTATTGTGTCTATTATATCAACTTACTGGATACGCGTGGCCTCTCTTTCTTAGTAAAATATAAGTAAAGTTTAGGGGCCACTTCCACCTGTTACAAGCCCTAAGTAAACTTTACAAATGACAAACGTATCTTCTACACAGCCAAGTCAAAAATGTGTGTCGGAGCAGAGGTTTCGTGATCTCTCGGTGGCGACCCCTATAGTGCAGGATGTAGCTTCTGTCAGAAAATTTTCCTGCTTCAATTCCATCAAGTGCACGTGCAGGCTTTTCTTTTACGCCTAGTGTTTCGTACCTCTATCGCATTTTCCTCTTTATTTTTCTGATGCAGGGAAAACGTTGGTTGTCTTCTAGCATAAGCAAATAAAACCACATATTTATTTATTTATTTATTTATATAACAAATGCTGGTTTGTATATATTTATATATCATACAATATGTACGGTTGAAGCGGTGTATAAACCCAAGGGCTGTTTAAACCCTATTGTTTTAGTAATTATTCAGGTATGTGGTAATTTACTAAACTTACTGTATGTATCTACTGCTAATTAAGCCCGGAACGGCTCTGTAGATGGGTAAATTGATGGGCTTTTCAGGAGAGTGCGATCTGAGATGATAAAACTTTGAGAGTTCTTTCATCGCGGGAAAATGCCATTTACCTCGGATAAATTCGTAAAACATGAGTTTATCTGCAGGAGTATCCCAGCCTGGAACATTTTAACAGGTCACACGCGTTCTGCAAGTTAACCCATGTGTAAATGTTAATTAATTTAGTCACTGAACACTTAAGATTTATTTATTACCCAAAAGAATACAGTATATATAAGGCAGTTTATTAGGAGTTTTGGGCGAAGGTTGACAATAACCTTAACACCTTGTATATTGCCTTTGTCCATCCTTGGACATATGTCCAAGAACCATCCATTACACCTGATCGGTCAAATAAAACAAGATCCTCATCTCCTCCTTTGTCCATTGACGTTTGTCATGCAGGGGTCGCGCCGGATCAATTGTACTCAAAGAAAGTATTTGATTGAAATCAACTTTCCCTGCGGTCTTGCAAGTGGACATGTTTGCATTTCGTGCATCCTGGACAATGCCTCTCTAATTGGATACTGTCAGATGATGTAGCCCTAACTTTTGTGGAGTGTCTAGTATTTCACGGTATAAAGGAGACGTCCGTGCCCCACACTAGGCATAAACTTTCTGTGTACGGCTGATGTGCACATGTAGCTTTATCGGTGTAGGAGATAAACTATAAATATAAACTTCAAGAACTTCGTTTCAAAAAGTTATTTAATCATATCGGTGTCATTGAAATTAAAATGCAACTGTGCACAGGTTCATCGCTATGGTGGCTGTGTATTGCAATACTGCAGTTTTTTCATCGTGTTAACAGTCACGGCAAGATGACGTCACCAGAGCAGAGAGACCCCAGGAACACAGGCGTCAACTGCGGGGGGCTATATGTAAGTTATGGAGCAATATTTTCAATGCAAATTTATTAAATTTTCAGTATATTGTCAAATAAATGTTCTGTCGGTTATATATTTATCGTGTCTGGCATGCTGTACTTAAAACTTTGTGATTTTCAGTGGTGTTGGATTTGGAAAACCAGTAGTTTCGTAAAATCATATTCATTTAATTTCCCAGTATCAGACGCAGAATGGTGGTAGGTGTGGAGTGTGCGGTGACCCAGTGGGAGGGCCTTTCAAACACGAAATTCCAGGACCGAATGTGAAAACGTACAAACAGGTAGGAATTAGTCAAAAATTCCAGCGAACGTCTCTCTTTTGTACAGTATGGCCATTGTAAGTGGTTTGTTCTCTTAAAACCACTGTCAAGTAAAAAAAAAATGGTACATAGCTCAAGACGTATTAAAGGCGATAAGAGTTAGACTTTTGAAAGTATAGAAAAGTTTGCTTTTTGCCCCCTTTCTTGTTTTGAACCTGATCATCACGACTAAGACTAAAGAGAAATCACATCAACGATGATTTAATTGATAGTAGTGATGATTTTACTGATTTTTTTCCAGGGCGAGACAATCAACGTCGAACTAGTAATAACGGCCAAACACATGGGCTGGCACGAGTTTCGCATCTGCAAAAACGACGACAAGACCAGGGTGACGCACGAGTGTATGGATAAGAACCTCCTAGTTATACCACTGAAGGATGGAACGACCGTCACTCGCATATTTGAGCCAGATGATGGACGGTAACTATGTGAAAAACATATTTTAAAAACGCTATAATTTTTTATCGAATCTCCAAAACTTACATCTAAGATTGAGTGGTGAGATCAAAGTCATTTGATGAAGGGGAAAAAACGCCATCCTGATGAAATTGTAAACGATTTAATTTACTCTTCTCATATTTCTGTTCTTGTCCGTTTCACATTTGGTTCTTTTTGAAGCAGTTTATTTGCATGGAACGTTAAACTTACAGTTGTGAATGTCAAATGGGGCGAATGCATCTTTTTCGATACAACTGCATACAAGCCTCCGTTTATGAACTTCTGCGTGTATATATGGGCCTATTGTACAGTTTAGTTCCCAGAGTTTATTGAATTTAATTATCCTTTTTCTTGTCACAATAGGCCTACTTAAAAAAAATAACCGCAAAGAATATCGGCAGACAAAAGTAATTGAAATGCTATCAGCAATACATCGCATAATGACTCTGATGTTATCATTTACATACATGTACAGTTTGCTAGTGACCAATGAACAGATATATGCGTACTCGTTAGTTAGGTGGGATGTCATTATTTATTTTCAGTTTCGTCAGCTCGACTATGTACCCGTTCGTGGGTAGTGGGTCCACTTTAGTGATACCGGTCAAATTACCGCCAGATCTGACCTGTGACCATTGTGTGTTCCAGTGGAAGTGGCACTGTGGTGTGTAGACATCTTCGATTAATATTGATCAATGTTAATATCCATCACAGAATTTGAGATTTCTTGATGGTACTTGCCAGCTTAGTTGGAATGTTTGACATACGCGTTTCAAAGCTTGTTAAAACGATGATACATATCTCTGTTCATAAATCACTGAACATGTTCATAAATCACTGTACTTGTATGTGTGGCTTCAAAAATGTTCCTATTATGAGTTCGGTCGATAAAATTCGAATTCAGTTTTAAACGCCTTTTTTTCAAAAGGTAACAATTGGGGTCCAGGAGGGAAAGGGACGGGACCACAGGAGGAGTTTTTTGGTTGCGCCGACATCGCAATAGAGGGCACTGCAGCTCCACCGACCACGACAACCCTGCTTCCTCCTCTGCCAAGTCTGGAACAACCTTCAGACACGGGACGTAAGTTTGTTACTTCGACTCAAGTTTTCCAAGTCATGATTTCAAAACATGATTTTTTAAAAAAACTTCGTGTTTGCATTTTATTAAATGAAAGTGAGTTTTAACAATTAAAACTATATGATTCATAAACTATTTTCACCTGCCTGCCTCATGATACATCTTCTGTGGATGACAAAATGCGCATCTTAAATACCAAAGCAGCAGTATTTAACTATTGCTAACGTGTACTTCATATAGCGACACGCGTCACCACGGTATCTTTCTTTGTATCAATTACACCGTGCACGATGTCACGATGATGAAGATAGACAGAAGAAACACACAACAGATGTTTTATCATGCATAATATTAAGAAAATAATAAATGTTAACTTTTTCCCAGATCAAATGAAGATGGGGTGTTGGTTCACCAGCTGGGCACAGCACAGACCAGGAGGGGGGCAGTTCCTTCCAGCCGATATTGACCCCAACCTCTGCACCCATATATACTATGCATTCGCCAAGATAAATTTTGACGGAACTAGCTACGAGCTGAAAACTGTGGAATCGAATGACCAAGGTCTGTGGTTGATTAATGTTATGAAACTGTGCTCATTAAGATTGGTTATTTTTTTCTAAATTTTAATATAGGCGTGAATAACAAGTCAGATCTTGTTTAAACCGTAAATTTTTGTTGGATAGTATCTTGTATGGTTAGAATATGCTTAACTTGAGAGAGCAAAACCCAGGCAATGTAATGTTGAAGTTCAATATGATTTAAGTCGTCGATAATATCCGTTATGTTGCTGAGCTTAAATCACGAAAGTATTACTAGGCCTAAGAATTCACTTCCTTTTTTTGCACTCGCTATCAACACATTTATGACACGAATTTCATCTTCTCCAAAGACCACATGGAGCAGGTTGTGAAGCTGAAAACCCGCAACCCAGCTCTGAAGGTTCTGCTGGCAGTCGGCGGCTGGAGCCATCCCTTGGAGATCTTCAACGAGCTGTCAAAAACCACCGAATCCAGGAGAGATTTCATAAGCAAAGCAATCCGCTTTTTAAGAGTGTACGGGTTCGATGGCCTGGATTATGACTGGGAGTACCCGGGGGATGTTGGCCGTGGAAGTCCCCCAGAAACGAAGCAGTCTTTCTCAGATCTAGTCAAGGTATTGTGTTTATAGAATAATGCGATGTAGAAATACACATATGTATCATTGATACCTTTAAAAATAAGAACTCGTCTAAAATCTGTATTCGTACAGTTCAATTATTTTGCTTTGGACAAACTTATTTATAGAATATCTAAGAAGACATATTTCATATTTAGGAAACGAGGCTTCGTTTCCAACAAGAGGCCGAAGTTAAAGGCAAGAGACGATTACTAGTTACAGCATCGGTAGGAGTAACAGATGAGAAAATTAACGACGGTTACAATATAGCAGTGATGAACAAGTAAGTTATATGCCTGTGAAACCGTCTTTTTATTTCCAAAGATGTTTCATAAATTGAAAAAGTTTTAGTAGATCAAATATATATGAAGTTGTTATGTTTAGCGACATTTAAAAGAAAAATAACATAAAATAAATCTCCTTTTATACAAATGTTAATGTTAGACTCCATGATATAAATCGACAAATTGACCATGTAATGGAGTATTGACGGAACTGATTTTATCCAGTGACCCCCAGAATGCAAACTGAAGATGTCAATCAATATTTTCAGATACCTTGATTGGACAAACCTGATGACCTATGACCTTCACGGGGCGTGGGATGGCTATCTAGGTCACCACGCTGCCTTGTTTGCCAGATCGGATAATTCAGGGACCCAGGATACTCTCAACATTGTACGTCCCTTTTGTCTATCTCCATTAGCATAGCTGTGTGTTCTTAATATTAAAACATGATAGATTTCAAGTTAAGGATAAAAACTCTGTACATTTTCTGAGAGACGTTCTGCCATACTATGAAATTCATCCGAAACTGAAGTGGCGAACTGACAGCCCAACAAACACGGAGCGTTTTTTAACTTTACCATATCGTCACAAAAACGATTTTTCGGTTAGATAAACGTTATAGAAACGTTCTATAATAACATTCTGCGTTTGCTGGGAGTAAGCAATTTGTTATTTTCCTTTTTTGCTAGGACTATATCGTCCGGAATTGGATAAAGAAAGGCTACGATCCCAGCAGGCTTGTTCTTGGGGCCGTTTCTTACGCGCGCACCTTCACCATGACTGACAGTAATGCCTACTCGCCGGGAGATAGAGCAACTGGTGCGGGACTCGCCGGACCCTATACCAAACATGCAGGATTTCTTGGTTACAATGAGGTGCGTGCTGCACAATTGTGCTCATACGTTTTTGACTAAGATACAAATATACCGATATATCCATTTATCAAACCTTTTGCTGAATCATCAGTAGTAGAGCAAATACATTTTGATTCGTCAGAACATGCAACACAAAACAAAACAAACCGCTATATATGCGCTTCAGACCCTTCATAACAGATTAAAATTAATACGCAAATATGCATGTAAAATTTTTGTGTCAGATTTGTGAGCAGAGTGGCTGGGACGAAGTCTTTGACCCTCAGATGAAGGTACCATATGCATATAAACCAGACACGAAACAGTGGGTGGGATATGACGACCCGAAAAGCATGGACTTGAAGGTACCGCAAATCTACTGATCTGAAATCAAATCGCCGCTGTTTGTAAAAGCCTAACTTATATAAGCTCATCTACCAGAGTTATTAGTTGTTCTTATTTTATTTATAGGTTCTTGCATAATCCAAATATGAGTCAAGATACTGATCTTAAAATCCAAAAAATAGGAGTAATTTAAGCTTATAAATATGTCACACCTGACGTGGTAGTAACTCTCAAGATTATCCATACAAATTTAACTTAGAAATGAATTCACGATATAAAGAGCGTTATCCCCCTGGGCCCAAAGTATCTGAAACATATATCATATAGATAAACAAAATCAGGTATTTGTGTAGAAAAAGAAAGACATTCACGTCGTTTCTCCTATAGGCCGCCTACGTTTGCAAGATGGGTCTTGGAGGGCTCCACGTGTGGGCGATGGACATGGACGACTTCACAGGGAGGTCCTGCAACGAGGGGAGATATCCTCTCTTTACTGCTGCCAAGGAGGGTCTAAAGAAATGTTCCACTGCCGGAAATCCGGGGCCCGGCACAAGACCGCCTTCAGCCAATAGAATGAACTTCCGGTGTGGACCAATAGCTGTTTGGTGCGAGGCTGGGAAAAGATGCCTAAAGCCTCGCCAATGTCTGTCCTTGACACGATCAAGAAGGAAATGAATTTCGATTATTTGATTTTCAATATCCGGATCTTAATACAATACATCATTATAATACTTTTTTCCAGGTGTTATTAATGATATTATTATCGGATATTCATGTTTCTATACACGTACTGACAAGACCCAAAATTATTGAAGTTACTACAACTGTAGTACAGGTAGAATAACTGTTCAGGTTTAAGTCATCGACTATTTTCATATACGTCTTAAAAGAGTTTTTCTTCAACAATCACCTTCTATCATGTAAATGTGAACGTTTCATATTCACTCTTTTACATTTATACATGTAACTTGGGCCTATGCAGGTATTTTAAGCGGAAAATAAACTGCTATTATTTGCATTAAATTGTCATTGTTAAAATTGTGTATTTAGCCTATTTCAGAGTGGCTGGATATCGTAGCAGGCCACTGTCCAAGACAGTAATAATCTGTCCAAGACAGCCATAATTTGTAATCTAAGGTACATATGTACATGTCAATTACATCGCGTCACTTGCAAGTAAAGCAGATTGGCATATGGAGTCGACGTTTAAATAGATTTTAATCTAAAGCCATTTAGTCCAATATATACACGACTTTGGTTGGAAAAAAATGTTAATAAACGAAGGTTTCGAAAGGGAATCGGGTCCTAACAGTTTTCCACTGGAAGTCACCTATTGCAAAGATTTGGTTTTTTTTTTTTTTTTGAAAACTTTAAGAAGTTGTAAAAATCTTATGGTGCAACACTGATGGGCACAGAACGTCGGTCATCATAAACACAGCAATGCAACCCATGCCCGAATAGTCTTTATTCTGAAGCTATTGTTGTAGAATCACGAAGACGATGAACCAAAGGACCTCCGTCTCCGCTAGCGTGTAACTATCAAAATAGGGCGCCTTTTTTTTCTGAAAAGGCAGGCTTGCAGGTAACAATTTCAAATGGGCGAAGTTCTTTCTCTGAAACATGGATTTATAAGACCCCAAGCATTGGATTTATCTGACGCATTATGAAAAACCTTTGATGAAAAACGCACTTTTTTCGGACAAAAGGTTCTTTCGACGCCCTCCTCTCCGAACCCCTTTCCCTGCCTACAGGCCTGACAACGATTTAAATGTACATGTATTGTAGTTATATCCCTTCTCGCGTAGCAAAGAATGTGCCAATTGAATTTTATGCCCTTCAGCCATCTCTCTCTATGTTTGGCTTAGCAATGGAAAGATTTTGTGTCTATACACTGAATCGAACCTAGCTGCAATGGTGGCTTCATTTTTCAGTTGGCAAATCAGATATCTTTTGAAAGTAAGGGCCAGTGAATTGTAAAGAGATTAAGTTATGTCGACATGCTTCTAATAAACAAGCGCACTGATGCAGTGAATATGAATCTGATGGTGACAATATATTTGGTATGTGGCGACAAGTTCTGTATATTGAAGAGGCGTTGAAATTCGGGACCAGTACTTTCTAAGTCAAGTGATGAATTGGAATGGGTCATTGGTTTTGTATGTGTCTTATGCCAAGAAAAGTCATGTAAACTAATATCCAGGGCGGTCAGTGACCTTCTTCAAACAGGTTACGAGGAGTTTTACCTCTAAGCAAAGGTCAAAGCCGTGTTACAGGTATGGTGAAGATGAGCAATAATACGATCCCATCTCCAATATTTCGCACTGAGCACCACCTTTAAAAAGTACACGATGCGACATTCTGTACATTTACAATACCATTTCATTGTTTCACAATTTCACGAATAATCTTTGGGTATAAAGGACAATCCTATATAAAAGATATAAAGAAGATATGATAGTAAATCATCCATGGTAGTTTTATTGCTTCAAAAATAATCTTAATTGTTGGTTGCCTTGAAATGTTTCATTTTTTAAAACTGTAAGCCTTAATGAAAAATTTCAAAGTAGTTGGTTTTACTCAAAGTGACAAGTTTAAAGCCTGTTGAAATACCAATTTCTCATGGATTAAGTAATCGTAGAAGGGTATAAAACTTTGATTAGTTTTCCATTCCCCTTAAGCAGTCTCAACTGAGTCCAAACAATCAATTTACTTTCTAAAAAGCGGGACCGATACTCTTCCGGTATTTATACAGAACCAGATGCATGGATTAAAGAACATGATAAAACCAGTTAAAACATTATTTATTTATTTTTATATTCCCCATATTTAGCAAATGATGTTGAGTATAACGTCGTTCTTTAAAAAATTGTGGACTTGACGTTTTCCTCCGGGCATTGTGTCGTATATACTTTACAGATTTTACACGGGATGGCCTGGATTGTTCAACGGCCCACCACCCCTGGGCAACTCCACGACCATCCACAGTATCGGCCACACCACACGGTCCCTGGGCCACACCGCTTTAATATGGCATTCCCCCAGTTACACTGATAGAACTTGTTGGGGTCGGTCGGGTGAGAATAGTAGCCCCACTGGGTTTTACAGATTTTCCCTGAAAAAAAAAAGACGACATCTTTAAATGCGTTTTCTAAAAACGGATAATATGGATTGCATGTCACATTGTGAGTTCAATTAATTTATATCTGAAACACAATAGCAGACCACTGAGTCCCTTCCTATTGCAACATGTATAATATCTCTACACCTAGATAATACGCAGATATGTACCTGTAGGTTTTTTCGTGGTTGCCTTTGTCGTGGTCGTGGTCATAGTCGTAGTGGTAGGTTTAGGAGTTGTGGTCGTAGTTGTGGTCGTAGTTGTGATCGTAGTCGTAGTAGTTCGTCTTGGAGTTGTGGTCGTGGTAGGCTCGGGTCGCTTGCATTTCAAGGCGTTGAAGGCGGCGGTCAGAAGAGGGTACTTTCCTTCCCTGCACGAGGCGCCGTTGAAGTCGTCCATGTCCAGGGCCCAGACGTGCATCCCCCCAAGACCCATGTTACAAGCGTATTGAGCCTTAGAATAATAATAATAATAATAATAATAATAATAATAATAATAATAACAACAACACTCAGTGACACCCGGATAAATCAAATCGTATGATTGTTCATACACTGAAAATAAAACAGCATTTTGATTAGTCAGATTACCGGTACTCTTGTATGCAATTTCGTTTGACTAATGAAATCAAGGGTGCATTATGTAAAGGAATATAACTCAAATGTACTGCTCGTTGTTTGATATTGACCACATACCTTAAGTGCGATGCTTTCTTGGTTATCGTAGCCAACCCACTGCCTCGTGTCAGGGTTGTAGGCGTGGGGGACCATGGTTTCATAGTCATATGACTCGTCCCAGCCGCCCACCACACACATCTGGAACGAGCAACGGATTAAGCGTACGGTATTTCGTAGTTTCAGTACTAGTAGTTAACGCCTGATTTGACGTTTGTTGGTGTTAATATTGGAATGTTGTAAACGTATCTGTGGGAATGTTACAGCAATTTTTGTAACTTTTAAAAAATGAAAACGATACGATAATTTGACACCTACTGCTTGAAGGGCGAAATGTCAACATGCAGTTTCCTTTCCTAACAATGCTCTTACCTCATTGTATCCGAGTATCCCACGGATGTTGGTGTACGGCCCCGCGGCCCCGGGGGCAATGGCCAAGTCCCCAGGGTGGTGTGAGTTAGGTTGAGTCATGGTGAAGGTTCGGCCGTATGTGGCGGCGCCAAGGAGCAGTCTGCTGGGCTCGTAGCCTCTCCCTATCCAGTTCTTGACGATAGAGTCCTGGCAAGAGAACCGATTCAAGTTGTGTTTGATCTGTCGACCTTGAACTACGCTTTGAAATCAAGTTCCTCAGAAAATATGGCTTTTCATCTGAATTTTTGCAAATAGTGAATCATATCATCAATTCAATCAATAGTTCGACATTGGTGGTATTCGCTCCTTCGACACATGACTTCTCTGACCTGTTTTCCACAATGTATAGGTACTAGCAAATCCAAAAAGTTTGGTGAAAGGAGGCACAGGAGGGCTATCTGTTTTTTTTATGGTAAAATTGATTTGAGCCAATGAGAGTACACGCCCATCCCCCCCCCCCCCCCCCACCCCCCCACTGCCAGGTATCGGGTATGGTCTAACCAATACAGTATATTTCAATTGAAATAGAACGCTAAATACCTTAAAACTCCATAAACCTTAACCCATTAGCAGCCAAGACTGTTCTTGTACTGATAACGAGAAAATATGCAGCACCCTCTCCACCCCCCCCCTCGTACACTCACAATGTTAAGAGTAGCCAGGCGGCCTGACTTAGAGAACAAGGCTGAGTGGTGTCCCAGGATACCATCCCACGCCCCATGCAGGTCAAAGGTCATCAGGTTTGTCCAATCAAGGTATCTGAAAATTTTGATTGGCAGCTTTAGCGTGTATTTTACCGGTCACTGAATAAGAATTATTCTATTGTATTCTACTGCACTGATATATTGCCGATTTGTTTTATTTAGGCACAAACAAAATCTAATAATGGCAACGTATAACGGTCGTATACCTGCTCATCACTGGAATGTCGTAGCCCTCGGCAATAACTTCGTCAGTCACTCCAACAGAAGCTGTGGCAAGTAACCTTTCCTTGCCCGTACTAGCGGCCTCCTCTTGGAAACGCAATCTTGTTTCCTGGATTTCAAAGAAAAATGTCTCTAGAGCGAGCTTTAGATATGACCTCGACAAAGCTCTGACTAACATGAGGTTAATATAACCAAGATAAGGTGTTATAGTTTAATTTAATTTAATTTAATTTAATTTAATTTATTAATTTATTTATTCATTTATTTATTTATTAGATTTATTTATCTATTTTGAAGAGGGGAGATCTAGAACTTTTCATTTTACCTTGACCAAATCAGCAAAATATTGCTTTGTCTCCGGAGGACTTCCGCGATCGACGTCTCCGGGGTACTCCCAGTCGTAATCCAATCCATCGAAGCCATACTGGAGTAGAAATGCGATCGCGTTGGTCAAGAATTTTCTTCTGGTTTCAGATGTTTTTGACATTTCGTTAAAGACCTTTAACGAATGGCTCCATCCACCGACTGCCAGAAGAACCTTCAGGTCTTTGTTACGGAGTTTTAGTTTCACGACCTGCTCCATGTTGTCTACAAATATACATGCAGTATATTCTACAATAATTTGACAGATTGGACGATGTACCAGTAAATACAGAATTTAAGTGAATGACAATATGCATCGTCTTCTTGGTGAAACATGCACATTTACTGTATATGAAAATAATCTCCCATGAGAGGACCATTAGACAACTCTATAGGGCTGTCGACACAGGAAGAGGCAAAAAAGTAAAAAAAACATTCTTGGTCAGCATAACTTAGACCGAATTAAACACATTTGCCTCTCCCCCCCCTCCCCACCCCCACCCCATTTCCTTGATATTGCAATTTTACTTACCTGGGTCGTTCGGTTCTGTCTGCCTTAATGTGAAAGCTCTGCCGTCCCATTGCACCTTGGCGAAAGCATAAAATATATGCGTACACACATAAGGATTTATGTCCTTTGGTCCAAATCGTCCGCCCCCTGCTCTATGCTGTGCCCAATTGGTGAACCAACAGCCAACCTTCATGGTACCTGCGGTGATTGATAACGAGGATATATGCCTAGGACAACTGCATTAACCCTTGAACATTAGCTTATGGCAATGCCATTGTGACATGCTTTCATATTAGTAAATCTCCTTTTTTATATTTTCAAAGTTTACGAGAGAGAGCAAAACAAAAAGCAGTTGTACGTCACGGCAAATACATGTATCTTGAAGCGAATAGGGTCAAATAGACGTGCCAAAATTTCGAGAAAAAAATAGCTGAAGGGATATAATGTAGTGGAATTTCCCGTTTATCATAATGCGAATATTCATTAACTCAACTAATTCTGTGATACAAGGTAGTGTTTTGTAATACATTACTTGTTTAGGATATCGCATATTTCTAAATTTAATGAAATTAATTCATCACAAATTGCCATGAGACGTCCAATGCCTTGAACCGCGTTTTAGGCCTAAAGATTTTCTAAATTCATTTGACCGATTCCGACAAAAATCAAGCACTTTTACATCTCTATTAATTAACAATTATCATACCGGGTACATCTTATTATATTCCGGGTACAACCACAAAGTACCTGGTTTTGGTTCCCCTGGTTGAAGAGTTGGTAAAGGTGGAGGTGGGGTCGACGAAGACCGTAAGGTGGTCGCAGGGCCCTCTATTCTGATATCGGCGCAACCGAAAAACTCCTCTTGGGGTACATTGTCTATGTCTCTCCAGAAGTTATTACCTGTGGTAAAATACATGTATATTGTGCGTACTGAATTTAAACGTCATTAACTTATATTGGACAATATGCATGTGTACATAATGAATCGTTTCAGCACATATTGTATGTACTTAATATAATTAAAAAACAAACGTTCCATTATTACTTGCAATAAAATACATATTTCTGTTTGAATTCAGATTATGCCTCGTTTGGTGATTAATACATGTAGGACATTATCTATTTTTTTTCTTAAAAAACAACCGGTCGATAAACTTTCTTAGAAGACGCCAACTCACCGCAGTGCCACTTCCACTGGAACACACAATGGTCACAGGTCAGATCTGGCGGTAACTTGACAGGTATCACTAAAGTGGCCCTACTGTCCTCGAACGGGTACATGGTTGAGCTGACGAAACTGAAATTAAATAACATCCCACCTAACTTCATGAATATGCGTGTGAGACAGTATGCATCGTATTGAAGATATCATTTTATAATTTTTTGTCTGCCTTTATTCATTGTGTAATAACAGCCGACCCTACTTAACGAATAAGTGCATATATGTTTTATGTTTATAATTTATGTTATGTATGCTTAGTTGTAAATGCCTAGGTCACGTGCTGCTGGTATCTTTAATCAAATAATGTGCATTTTGCACATTCTGCCATTCGAACTGTTTTTGTTGTCTTCGTTTTTATTAGATTATTAAATGATCAACGATAAATCCCGCGGTTCACGAAACTACACTGTATGACATATAAAATGTTTACTTGGTGGATCATTCTTTAAACGGCACATATAATCATGTACTCGAACTTTCAATTGAGTACTATATAAAAATACATGCTTTTGACGGATAATATATCAGCAAACTAACCGTCTGTCATCTGGCTCAAAGATGCGAGTGACTAACGTGTCATCTTTTAGTGGTATTTGTAAAAGGTTTTTATTCATGCACTCGTGGGTCACCCTGAACTTGTTGTCGCAGATTCGAAACTCGTGCCAGCCTTTGTGCTTTGCCGTTATAACAAGTGTAACGTTGAATGTCTCTCCCTGAAGAATACAAGGAGCAAGTGATGTTAACATCAATATAGCCACCTCTGCTCATGTCTTTATAAGTATATAGCCGGACCTTTAGACATATGGTGCATAACGCCATTTGAATGAAATGCCATGCGACATAACAAAAGGTTTCTTTTTATTTCCACACTAATGTTTCGATTGAGGAGCTATTTCACTGCATTTATGGGCCTTTCATTACAAAAAAAAAAAAAAAAAAAAAAAAAACAATCTTTCAATTCAATATAAAATACCTAAATTAGGAGAGCTTAGTTCTCTCTGGAATCATGGAATCTAGGTAAACTAGCTGCTCTTGAAATGGAGATATTTTGGTGGGACTTTCAACGTTATACAGACTTGACATTTAATATGGAATATTTTTTTCCAAAACATTTTAAACAAGTTTTCCCCTATTTTGCTGATTGATAAATGAAAACCAGGATTAAAATCGCGTTTTAATATATTTTAGTTATCTCTTTGATGTCATTGTGACATCAGTTCATTAATTGAATTCGCCAGAGAAGCGAACAAAAACACATTGCCTATTCTATGTCATACGACTACCATTAAAAACGATATTTTGGATCTCCATATTTTCCAAATTATTGTCTGGAAAAAGAGTAACATGCTCCACAAAGGACCCTCATGTCAGTGTCTAGTTACAGTGACGGTTGCTTTTACGCCTGACATCTTCTGGCTGCTACCAGAGCTCTCAAGTGGCAAGGCATTCTTTGGGATATGTTTGTAGAGTTCAATCTGGCATAACATTCCAGGCAACGGTCAAAATCTGTCCAATTTGGTTCAGTTCTGTTGTAGGACATGCAGGGCATTGTTTTGGCAAGTAATGGCCTACCCACATATTGTCTATGTGGTTCAAATATGGCTATTTTGATGACCAAGGTAGCTCCTCATTCCCTTGGTTCCGTAAGTAATCTGCTTTTAAAAGTGCTCTGTGTAAACCGGCAATCTCATCGTGCAACTTAAAATTGTCCATAAGGTGCCCCCTATCAAATGATAGTCAAGTGGTTCCCAGATTATTCCTGTATTTGATCTGGTTCAGGTTTTCGTCGATGACTACCATTTGTGTTTTGGCACCAATGTGGTATCTACTCCAAATACTGACGCTGTTAATGACCTTAGTCACGTTAGACGTGGCACAGGCTTCGTCGTTGGCCTCTTCTGGATGTCTGTAAACTCTGTTTTGACTAGTTGAACGGTACAGGTGAAATCTGACCTCAATAAAGAAACCCACGAGGTTTCAGTGTTCAACCAAGAAACGGCTAAGGTCCCCAATTCATTAGAGAAACATACAACGATGTTTTGCTGTTTACAGTGGGTTCCTCGGAGGTCGTCTGGTATTCTAACCTGCTAAAACCAGTTTGGTGTTCGTTAAGGGTCTTGAAAAATGCGTTTTGGTGGCAATTTACCCCTCATTCTGAACGGACTGGGTGGTTTTCGTTTAGTTGCAACAGCATACCCCGAAAGAAAGTGGGCCCTGTACCCTGGTGGTAAGATTTCAATACATTGGGTGTGGCCTCTGTGTAGGTACATCAGTCTGGGCATTACTCTATAAAACTGTGCGGACCGTTTCGTTTGACGCAATTATCTGTCTGGCAATGTCTGTCTTTTTCGCGCCATTCTGCCACAGGCTAACAAACTTGTAAAGCACTGCATAGCTCATTTTACACACTGCAAAACCGACCACTTGCATGCAGAATTTCAAATTCTTCTATGCAGTAGTTACTGACATACGGATACTTTTTTGGCAGAACCATGCTTGGCCAAAGCCAAGCTTTGACCTGCCCAAAGGAGCACTATCCAATTAAATCACTGCATATTACATAATGCAGCAGCGCAACAAACCCGGGGTTCAGTTAATTGGTAGCGACACACCTGTCTACACACTTCTCCATTCACATATTTTATATGAGATTGGAGTTTGTTGAAAAAAAGAACGCATTTTTACCTAGGCATACCTTCGAAACTGAAATATTCCATATTAAATGTCAAGTCTGTATATTACCTGTTGGTATGTCTTCACAATCGCACCTGGGGTCTCGTGTTTGAAAGGCCCTCCAACTGGGTCACCACACACTCCACACCTACCACCATTCTGCGTCTGATACTGGAAAATATAATATAATTTTGGGGAAACATTGTTTTCCATTTTCTANCAATTTGCCACAGATTAACAAATTTGCAAAGAACTGCATAGCTCATTTTACACACTGCAAAACCGACCACTTGCATGCAAAATTTCAAATTCTTCTATGCAGTAGTTACCGACATATGGATACTTTTCTGACAGAACCGTGCTTTGCCAAAGCCAAGCTTAGACCTGCCCAAAGGAGCACTACCCAATAAGATTACTTCAAATTACATAATGCAGCAGCGTAACAAACCTGGTATTCAGTTAATTGGAAGCGACACACCTGACTACACACTTCTCCATTCACATATCTTATATGAGATCTTAGTTTTTTGAAAAAAGAACGCATTTCTACCTAGGCACACCTTCGAAACTAAAATATTCCATATTAAATGTCAAGTCTGTAATTTAGTACAAGCATTCACTGAAATGAATTTAATATTAATTGGCCTGAAAAATTACTGATTACTTTTTTATTAAACTGGAATGATTGATACTAAAATGTTTTTTTTTTTTTTTTTTTTTTGCAGATTGAGGACAATGGATATTGACGCTATAATTAGTTTACTCACTGTGAAGACTTTTGTTGTCGGGATCACCACATTTCTGTTGGTGATGTCATATCTACAGAGGAAGAAGTACAAACTGCCACCAGGACCTCCACAGCTGCCAATACTGGGGAGTTACTTTGGTGAGAGCTTTTTTGTAAACCATTACTTCCAGAAAAAGTTAAACATTGGGACATTTTTCGTGTCTAAAATATGATGTTTTGGTTGATCATGTATGATGTGATTGAATGTTAATATTTTAATAAAATCTGCATATCAAACTGAGCACGTTTTGATGTACTATATGTTTATGTTTTAATAAAATTTGCGTATCTTATTTTAGCATTCAGAAATGATGGCCGACTGTATTCTGTGTTCTCAAAACTCGGAAAATCATTTGGTGACCTTTTCAGTGTTGATCTAGGTAAATAGAATAAGGCGTTTATTGTTGCGTTTGTGCCACCATGTAATACATTAAGATACTATGCTTAATGGTTTAAGCTTTATGGTTTTCTAGCACCAGGGTGAGGTGGCAATTGGGAAATCTTCACAGTAAGACCTAATAGTTCAGGTTGACCTGTAATCTTACTTCTCCCACAATTTTCCCCCAAAGCTGTATTTACAGGCTTCTTTATTTTACCTTGCACAATATCGTTTTTACTTGATATATGAGCTCTATTTTTATTTTATTCGTTTTACCTTCGTAAGGTCTGCTGGACATTTTTAATGGATTTTAGATTTGATTTTGCTCTGTTTCCAGAGAAGATTTTCAGTGTGAGACCTCGAAGAACCTGTCTTCTCCCTTTGCCTTATTTAAAAGTAGATAATTTTGAACAAATCACAGTAAAACACCATGATTTCTTTGAAACAATTCTTGACCAAAATGTTGATCAGCATTAAAATATACTACGCTTTCTAACAGAAACTCATCTACATCCTATTACATTGCACATATGATATGTGTGACACAATTAAGCTGCTGAAGTAATGAAAACCCTAACACATTTTTCATAGCCTCAATAGAAATTCCAAAGGATAAACATTAAAGTAAACCGCGAATGGATTTTAAGTATTTCAAGTACATATATATCGACCAAAATTGATTAGGCCGGGCATTTATGGTCGATATCTTTGATTTTTAAAAACAATGTATATCAGATTCTGCTTAGTGCGTTATTTCACATGGCGTGGTTTTACATTTTCAGTGTTTTTTTAGGTGCTTATAGGGTTAACATCGACTTGCACAGTTTGGAAGCGTATGGACTTTATACTTTCTGCATTATTAAATTTCCAGGTTTTTGGCACACGGTCGTGGTTTTAAAATCTGCAGATATTGTGCACGAGGCTTTAGTTGAGAAGAAAGAAACATTCGCAGGAAGAGGCGTTTTGACTTGGAAGTGTATGTATCAGTTATATTGATCTCATTGTACACATGCTTTATTTTGCAATCTATTGATATTGATTATGTGTCTTTAAATAAAAGGGTACGTTGCACAAAATACATCAATTTTAAAATACTGAGTCCACTTTTGACATGTTTAAACAGTATAAATGAAGGTTTGCAGGTTGGGAGTTAACAGAGCTTTTGTTGCCGTAAGTGTTCTGTTCAAAACTGGTCGTGTTATTCATTGAAATTTGATATCGGAGAAAAGATCTTTTCCATAGTGACATTTCGAATGGTTTCTCACAAACCGAGCATTATTATTTTAAATTTCAAATCGAATAACAGAATGAGTGAACAATAACGTACTTTTAATTTCACAATTCAATTTCAAACCTATAACTTAAGGTATCATTTGAGTAGAAACTGCATCTCAGCTATTTTGAAAACATACAACAGTTAAGGGAAACGTACTTAGTTCACATTTGCACAAATGCATCTAAGAATATTTTACTTGATTTTCCACCTTCTGTCCTTTCTTAATTTAAGTTACATGTAAATCACGTAGATGCATATTCAAAACGCGTTTAATAAGGGTGGTTTTGAGAAATTCTGAGGGAAGGGATGTAATTACGTATATTCAGAAGCCGGCCCATTTAATTTTAAGCCATAGATATACATTTTTATTCAAAACGCCCAGTGTTTGGGTATGATAATATGAATAACGTCTCACGTCAGTCTATACGTACAGGTTTCTGCATTTTCCTCTCTATTGATGAAATAATGTTTATCATATTGCCAGATGAGCTATTCAGCGGAAGAAAGAGAGATTTAATTTTCAGTGACTATGGGCCCGTGTGGAGACTACAAAAGCAGATGGCGTTGAAGGCATTCAGGTACTTTGATCGAATTCTATTGGTTACACAAATTAGCCAGTTTAATAATGTTCTTAATAGATTTTAACTCGCTTTCAGTTGAGCTCTGAAAGAACGCTCCAGATTGTTTTCTGTTTGCTACCTTTTGTTACATGTACCAAAAGTAACTATTTAGTTAATAGTGATAATTAAAGGGTATTAGAGCTGGCAACTTTGTGGTCACAGTCTGTTTAGACAGGTGATAACACCCCATGCTGTAATGAAATGATAAACTATTGTCTGTTGATAACGCAATGAGCAAACATACATTGTAATACAAAACTTTCATAGAAAGTAACCAGTTAAGTTCTTAAACAATACTTTTGGTAACGTCTCATTATTTCTGGGCTGAACTGTAAATATTTCCAGTTGTAAATGAACGAACTATGGGTCTGAGGGTTATCTATGATATTCTTTTTTCATATTCAGGACCTACGTAGCTAGTGATAAATTAGAAATGTTCACGAGGTCTGCTTTTGATGAAATCGCCGCCTTGATTGAGAAGGAGACCGAGCCTTTTGACATGCATGTCTACATGCGGTTACTCATTTTCAACATTGTCTGCAGAATGGCTTTTGGGAAAGTGTAGGTTGATCCATGGCAACTTAAAACTACATATACCCTTGGAAATGCAATTAGGCCTATACTTATATTACATATATACCCGAACATACGCCGCTTGCACGTCATTGCACACAGGTTGGCGAAATGTCGATTAAAACATAACCGTATGAATGTCGTCCATTCTGATTTTACCTATTATTTGTACCTCGTAGTAGTTGTTTTATATTTCGTGGTCAAGTTTCATGTATATTCCCCATGGCCATTTTAGTTACAAAATAAACGAACCGGAGTTCGTTTGGTTGAAGGGCACCTTAGACGAAAGCATGGAAAAGGTATATGGAAGTATCATTCCTTCTGACGTCATTCCCGTTTTGAAGCATCTCCCCATCCCATCATCCCTATCGACGAAACGACTTTTGCAAGGACTGATTGATTTTCAAAAAGTCAAATTGGAAGACCACAAAAGAACGATAAATTTGGGTTTGTAAATTTATGTATGTAAAGAAGATGATGATCAGAGTTGATGTTTAGAAAATTGATTAAGAAAAGATGAATGAGAGTGTAAGATTTACCGTCTTTACATACGCATATTTAATATTCCCTTCTTTCCTACAAAACTGTTTCAGTTGAAAATTAAGTTCATTCAACCGATAGATAGTTGTATATAGGAGACCATTCCCAGAGACTGTCTTACTAACTTTGGATCGAACTACCTCCAAGGGGATTCTCGATTTATTGCAATTAACTATAGCGGCTAAGATGTCTGTCACCCTTACTGAAGCTGTTAGGGGGTAATTAAATATCGTTTAGCAGCTTTAACAAGAGTACCAGACATCTAAGCCACTTAGATTTTAGATCGATCTATCCCTGTGGGGAGTCTCACTAGATAACTGTCAGCTTAGCCAGCTTAAGCGTCTGTCCCGCCTACTAAAAGCTGTAAGGGGCTAATTAACTATGGTGCGCGCTCGGCTGACTGCAATTGAGCGTGAACTCCCAGGGAGTTAGGATGATCTAAAGCTAAATCTCTGGATCAATCAAAATCTCTGTGAATGCACCCTTAAGCTGAAAGCAATTTAGCGAGAAACCCCGATAAGATAGAGCGATCTTGTTAGATCCATCTTGGGATGGGAACCCTGTCTAGGATAACTTTTTCACGTTCAAGGTGAGGCCAGAGACATTACGGACCAGATGTTGCTACTGAGAGAGGAGCTGACAGCTGAACGTGATGATGACGTCAAGGAGTCGCTTTCTGACCTCCGCATCCTTCACACCATATTGGATATTTTCTTTGGTATGTTATATACTTAAGATAGCATAGAGATATTTGGCACTTTAACGTGATTTATTATTCATATTTAAAACTTTACATTGCATTTACATTTATAACTACTGTTTTACTTGATACGTTAAATGTTCACCTCGGCAATATTTAGCACCCACATACCAGGTACATGAGTACTTGATCATTTAAATTCTTATTATAATAATAATAAAAGAATGTACCAGTCAATGTTTTCTCGAGCTTATCGATTCAAATTTTATGTTTATTTATGTAGAAATAATACTGCGACCAATATGAAATTAATAACCATTCCAAAGCAATAGCAATATGCAACAGCTACAGGTAGTTGAATGTTTTATCAGAAAATAATGATATTTTGTAGCTGGAACCCAGACTACATCAGACACGTTGATATGGATGATTTTGTATGCAGCAGATAATCCAAATATTCAGGAAAAGATACACGAGGAATTAGACAGCTTAGGTAAATGTTTCTCTTCTTTCTCTTTTCTATATTGAAGTATATCTCAATGACAGCTTGTTTCAAAAATGTAGAAAACACTTTTATATTTTTAAAATACTTTCTTAATAATGCTTTGAATGTCTGTCCTTTTTGAATCTTGAAAGAAATAATTTCAATATTTATTATTTACATTTCAAAGGGGACGATTTCTGCGATCTTCGGCAATGCAGATCAAAGTTGCCTTACTGCGAGGCAGTTCAGAGAGAGGTTTTGCGCATGCGTCCTGCTGGCCCAGTATCTATACCTCATAGAGCACTTTGTGACACGAAATTAGGTAAGATATCAACCTATTTGCTTATCGAATATTCTTTGAGAATTAATGTTGTTTCAATCATTTCAATAATTTCAAATTGAGAATGACAGCCCAAAAATTGGCAGATCTGCCCTTGCACCATTTCCATTGGGGACAGGTTGCCTCCAACCGAGGTGGTCGTAAGAAAACAGTGAAAAAAATTCCAGCTTGCCTGAAATAAGTCTTGCTTACCACTTAGTTACATATCTAACTTTCATCCTAGGTGGCTACGATATCCCGAAAAATACTCTTATCTTTGCAAACATATGGGCAATCCACCATGACCCGAAAAACTGGGAATCGCCGGAAGTTTTCATGCCAGAGAGATTTCTAGAGAAAGATGGCAGCTTGAAAGAGTTGGACAAAAAGACATGGCTGCCATTTAGCAGTGGCAAGAGGAAATGCGTGGGAGAAGCAATTGCCAGGACAAATATTATGACAATTTTGGTGGGTAGAGGTCAACACAACTGCATTATATCTTTATATCAGTTACATTCTGGCACATTTCGTGTAAACTTAGGAAAGAGAATCTAAAAAAATTAAACATGATTTTTTTGTATTCTGAATTAATTGGCAATCAATGCTGTTACTTTCATAATAAATAGGACCCTTTCGAATGATGTTTTATGTTGTTGATATATTACTTGCGTGGGCACTGGGTAATGCTAGTAGTTCCATTACCAATATAATGATCATTATTTGTATTTTAGCCACCAGTAGTGAACATTTTATTATAATTTCAAGGATGGCCCTTTGCACATGGATTTATCAGGCGATTTGTAAACATAAGTATGAATATATACTAGTATTGTTTACAGACAGTGGCCGCATTCTAAAGTCCTTCTAAACATTGACTTGTATTTGTATGCTTAATTATATTATTTATCGGCTCTTTAGTATTTACGTTTATTTATTTATTTATTTTACAGATATTGTTCTTTCGTCAGTTTGAAGTGAGCTTTCCGCCGGGACAAAAACCCGACTTCGAGCCTGCGATGTTAGAACTGGCATGCATGCCTAAACCTCAGAAGATAATCGTAAAAAAAAGACAATAATATTTCAGCCAGAACGAGTTCTACACTTTCCCGTTACACGAGTGCACTAAGTACATATTTGGAGCCATTCATTGTAATTTGGAAGTTTTTTTTTCCACGGATGAAGGTTTTAACTGGTTACGTAACAGCCAAAGAGAAAGTGATGTTTGCGTCTCACAGTGGCTACAAGAGCTTATTTTGGCAAGGCACGCACTACATGCTGGCTTGAGAAAATCATCGTTTCACCTTGGTAACGAGTTAATTTCTTATTGATGCGTCGTCTTCTTCCCTAGTATAGGCGAAATGGGGGTTGGGGGTCGTGTTTACGAACGATGTTTCCGATCATTTAATTCGTTAGCAATGCATTGTCTCAGCATTATTCCGATTTGGAATTAAGACGATGTGGAAATGTATTCAGAAACCACATGGGGCATATGTAAGAATAATTAACATTGAACAAGTTTCAAAATTTATTCACAGTGGACGGAACATTCCATCTCGGGATACCTACTTATCCTGACAAACGTCTAATAGTTATCACCTACACATAATGTTATTTTAAAATGTGATTACTACACCAGTCTTATTTTCAAATTTGAAACCAGTTTGACGATTAAAATAACAAGACATATATTTCACTCCTGTGCAATTTAGGTCATACGTAGGTCATACGTAGGCCGATTTAAGACCGGTGTGACAGGAATGTAAGTCCGCTAGGAACCGTAGTCCGTTTTCCATTTCTCTGTACTGGTGACATTCGTCCCAATACTAACCCCAATACCCCCCCCCCCCCCAAAAAAAAAAAAAAACCTAACCTGTCCTAATCAAATTGGACCCCGGACTTCCATTAAAAGAACTACCCTGGACTTCCATTCAAAGGACTACCGTTCCTGCCACACCGGTGTGTGGGAGCAAGGCGTAAGGAGAAGGCGCTTTTAAACATTTGTACTGCTTTGGTGATGATAGGAACTTGACATTGTGCAGAGGTGCGAAAAATGTTTCCAAAATTATGCATATAACGGTGGATTATGTAAGGCTATACCCTCTGCTATATTCAGCCTTTTATATAAGGTGCAAAATTGACATGGTGGCATGGTATCCTGTCGCTCTAGTTTAGCCGAATACAGGGTGATAGTTATTATATAATATGTTTATTTCAATGTTCATATTGTCATTTTTAATTGAAATAAAGAGCTGGAAAACAGGTCACTTAGCATCAATTCATTTGTTTATTTTGTCAGTTTTCAAATATTTAAGTCAAAGAGGAGGAAACATAGAATATAATAAAGAAGGGTAAAATGACAGAGAAAAAAAACAAAATAATCTTGATAAACACGAAACAAAAATATTATCTCAATGTAACAAATATCATTCACTAAGATAACTCAAAGTAATGTATTATATCTATAAATTACGTGTTCTTTTCCATCCTTATGGGCAAATGGGAAGATCAACGGATGAGCTTAGATTAAGTCGGAAGCCATGGGAGGGACTCCACCACGACAAAGTGGCCAAGTAACAAAACGTTTCATTTGTGTAAGGGGAATTTTAAAAAAAATATGGACCGATAGATACCGTACGTACGACTGTTTGTCACCTTCTTGTTTGAGCGTAAGCGTCGAAAATCATTGCTTTTAAAATTTTATTTAGAATATCAAAAGAAACCATTATAAGTGTATAACTGAAAATCATTATTTTTAAGGGACCTTGCTTAAAGAGCGATTTTTAAAAGATGGAAAGGTGATGCATTCAATTGAGTTAGGTTTGGAGAAGTACATGTATTTACTGAAATTGCCTCTGACAAAAGCAATATAAATATGAAACTTGAATAACTGTTCATTTTGGCCAAAAAATAATTTTTTTAGAGTAAACAACGATTTCTCAATGCTTACCAATGGTTAATGAACCTATTTCTACATTCGAAGCTAGTCCCTGTTTATAATTTTTTTCAAAATTTTTTTTTCTAATAATCTCTCAAAAGATTATTACAGAGTATAGCCATCTATGAAGGTCATGTGGTCCGATGAGAAGTAAAACAGGTAAAACAGAATATATAATATTTCTATGAGCTGTTTACAATGTTTTATTGTGAAATATACATCTAATAAGGAGAGTTATTATCCCTTTAAGAACTTGTAATGCTAATTTACCAACTGAAAAGGGCGGATGGCATAATATACCTCGGATGAAAGAATATGCCATCTTTTTAATGGGAGGTGACTTTTGTGATTTGTTTGAACGCCAAGATGGAACAATTGTTAACCATAGGAATTCTTTAACACCAAGAGACGGCACTACTTATCCTATTGTATACCTGTATATACATGTATTTATACGTTTGACAAATTAATCAACCTACAAAATAAGAAATTGGCAAAATATATTTGCATCATAATAGAATGAATCAGCTTTCCTCGTTTAATCATATGTATATACAACATTAACACGTGCTTATACTCTTATTTTATATTCATATCATTGTTTGTCGTCAGAGTTTTGGTTTGGAATAATAAAGCTATCACCAAAGCAGGTCAAAATATGGACGTTACATCCTGGTTCTATTTCGTTGGCATGCTAACAAACTGTTTCCCTTTTTTCTATGATCAACTTCTGCGGTTTTGGGATGCAGTCAAATGGATACATGGCAGGTTCGAAATCTGGTTTCTGTCCTGGAGGAAAACTCACTTTGAACCGCTGGAAAAACATGGCCTGAAAAAAATACGGTGGAATAGTTTAGATCTATAATTATACAGTAATCTTTATTCGTTCCGGCCTTCTTTTACAGCAATAACATATCAAAATAATGCTTTTTATGGTTAAAATGTGTGATTAGATGATGGTTGATAAAATTTATTAGCTCTTTCTTTGAGCAAACCACTATTACTTTGTATAAAGTAACCGTCTGTCTCTTTCAACAAATTAGGACCAAGGTTACATTTCTGTTCTTACCATTTTTACCCAACAAATGTTTTTTCTTCTTCTTTCTATGTTTCATCTAATAATCATAAAAAATAACATTTTTTCTGATAAAGTGTTAGTGTGGTGTGATCAAATGTCATGTTTACGTACCATAATCATCATAATGTCAGCTTTGGCCAGACCTTCGCCGGCACATTTCCTCTTCCCAGAGGAGAACGGCACCCATATCTTGGTATCAGTCGGTTTCAAGTTGCCATCTTTGTCCAGAAATCGCTCTGGTTTGAAAACTTCTGGCGACTCCCAATTTCTGGGATCATGGTGTATCCCCCATAAGTTTGGAAATACCACAGTCCCCTTTGGCAGGTCATAATCGCCTAGTTTGGAAGAATGATAGATATATTTCGGGCAAAACTGAAGGGATAAATATATATATATGTATTTAACAGGCAAAACACCTATTATATGGACATGTTTTACGATATCGCTTTTTGATACAGCCTCATACACATAGAGGTGTCGTGCACTAATGGACTAATTGAAACATTTACAGTTTCTAAAGGTTACTCGTGGAAAGTTGGTAACCAAGGAGTCACGGACAAATGCATGTGTAAAACGACACATGAGAGCATACGAATGCATGCACGTAAAGATCCACAGAGAGAGTTCCTCGGAGAAGGGTAAATGTACCAATACAAAACGAGGAGAACTCAAACAAACACACACAAGTGCAATCTTAAACAAGTGCGTGCACAATCGGCTTACCAATTTTTGTATCTCGAATCGCCTGGTGCCCGAGAGCCACCGGGGCAGCCGGACGCATGCGCATAACTTCGCGGAGAACCGCCTCGCAATATGGCAGCTTGGATTTACTGTGACGCAGGTCGTCTAGATCGTCCGCTGGGTAAATAAATAAAGCAGATACAAATTTAAGAGAAAGTAGAGTTCGGTTGATGTCGATGTTTTAGAAAAACGAAAAACTTGCCTAAGATGTGTTTCGGGCCGATTTTTATCCCTTTATGTCTGAGAAAAAACATTACTTTTCATTTTTAATCTTGTACGCATAGTTAATAACATTTATGTTTTTTCCATAGGTTTGTAGTATTCGAAAAAGAGAACAAATCACCATCCCTACATATAACGTCACAGACATGTCAAGCTCATCAACAAGTGAGAACGATGTTCTAGTACCCAATGTTTCACTTAAAATAATAAATTATTATTATTTTTATTATTATTATTATTATTATTATTATTATTATTATTATTATTATTTTGTAACTGGCACTTGCGTTTTGGCTCAAATACAAAGGTTGAACAGGGCATACAGATTATATATGTTGGTAAATGGAGTGCATTTTATTTTAAAAAAGTGAGCGTTCCCTAATGTATGAGACGTTTTTACAGTGATACATGCACACACTGAGACAACCGCATTTGAGAGAGAGAGAGAGAGAGGGAGAGACCTCACCCAAAACTCCACTAATTTCCTGGTGCATCTCCTCCTGTATCTCCGGGTTGTCCGCAATATACAACATGGTCCACTTCAGTGTTTCTGTTGACGTCAAGACACCAGCTACAAAAACAAAGAAAATAATACCACCCATGCTATAGGATCCCTAAGAGACTTTCCCAATAATCTGTTTCCATGAGTTTTTCAAATGTACCATGTATTCCTTTAGTGACTCTTTCATTGGCTTTTCATTGCAATGAGTGACCCGTGGCGCAGTGCGACTGTTACATAAGTTGTTCCAAAAAATAGAAAAATGCAATAAAATTATGTAGGAATGAAGGTTTCTGTATACTTGTGTATGTGTTAAGACATATGGGATTAGGGGATTGAAACGTACCAAAAAACACGTCCATTATGGTCTGAATGATATGCTTGTCTGTTAATGTCTCCATCAGGGACCCGTCGCTCCCTGCGTCCAGCTCTTGGCGTACCAACAGCAGTTGGTCGGTAATGTCTCTTGCCTTTCCTGAAAAATGTCGAAATAGGTAAGATCATATCACCGTAACATTACTAACAGTTAGCAATAGCTTTTTTAGTCATACGACTTGTAGTTCAAATTAGGTTCCAAATTTAAAGAAGTCATGGCAATAAAATGTTATATTTTAATCAGATACTGTAAATATTATTGTGTTACCTTCTCCAAGGGGGTTATGATTTTACCGAAGTTTATTTGTTTGTCAGTGAATAGCAAAACTCAAGAAGTTGTGTAAGAATTTTTGATAAAATGCTCAGGATTATCGATTAAAGGAGAATTGGAAAATATTTTTTTCGCTTTATGGATGCATATCATTAAGAATCTAAATTTCTTTTCTGGATAATATCTGATGCATGGAAATGTGATGCTATGCTGAACACATACCTGAAAATATTGTGTTTGTACAACAAGTAATAAGGTAGGTAAATTGACGATATACAAAGTCGAACACAAAAAGGCCTATCTAAAGTTTCAACAAAGACAATTAAAAGGACTGTAGCGTGTCATATATGTCTTTCTTATATTTTTTGAGTTGTATAATCCATTTGTATTATAATAGGATGGATGAAACACGTGTATCGTTGCTCTACATCTTTCAGGCGGGCTGGAAAATCACTGTCATAAACTAAGGTCAGCTAAGAAGTTGCCAAGAAAATATCCACCACCTAAGGTTATATGGTTTTTATACTGTGGTAAAGGGATGTACATTCGTGTTGTTATGAAGGTCATATAATAGGTTAATACCTGGTGTCAAGGTTGCCTTGTGCTCATTGACCTGAACTGTTTGGAAATCGATCAGATCTTGCATTGTTCTTTTTGCAACCTGTGTTGACTTGATAGGCACATGTTTCAAAAATGGAAGAAGATCGGCTGGTATGAAGTCTGTGAATAATCCCATCATTTCGTCCATTTTGTTTTTTAGCCAAACAAACTCTGGGTCATTGACTTTGTAGCTGAAAGTATTTTCAAAAACCTGTTTTCATTGACAAAAATAGAAATGCGCTTTCATTTTTTCACATCCCAAGACCACAGTTCCTAACATAGCTGATACCGTCTGATCATTTTTTTTTTTCATTAATAAAGATTGAATTTTCCCTTGTTTTACCCTAAAGATGTAAATTGTCTTTAAAATGTGCAAAGACGTCACGACTTTAAAATAAAAGATTAAATGAAGTCACCTTTTCCCAAAGGTCATCCTGCAAATGACATTATAAACCGTCAGGCGAATATATTCGGACAAATCCACAGGTTCCGTTTGTTTTTCCAGCATCTTGGCAACCTCCCCAAAAGAAGACTTTGCAAGTTGCTCTAGCTTGTCACTAGCTATGTAAGTCCTGAAAAGTAGACAATCATCTAAGCACTATATACAGTGCGTTTAAGAGTTAAGGATAAAAATACATAAATTCGTCATTTAGTAGTGGTATTTAAACAGAACCAATTTAGTTTCGACATTTTCTCTGAAGGACCAGTGCCGGAGTCCGTGTAACAGAGAGTCCACCCTCCATTAAATTATACAGGTAAGGGTTAGCCTGACGTAAGTGAGTCAAAATCTAGGACAATGCTTACTTGTGGAAATTAATGGAAATCGAAGTCTCTATCATGGGTGGGGGATCTGCCACGGCACACTGTGTCCCTATTTTCTTCTGCTGCGACCATACAGAATAAAAACACGTCTTTTGAATCATCATTACTTTCTATTTTCCATATCCAAATGGGTCTCCTTGATCTACACAGTTTGAAAAGACTGATTAATATACCTGAACGCTTTCATAGCCATCCTCCTCTGCATGGTCCATAGGGGTCCATAATTAGCGAATACGATATCTTTATATCCGCCTGACAGCAGTTCAACTGTAGAAAAGGAATAATCTATCCTTGTGATATCACAGACATATAAATCTAATGTATGATGTGGGTAACTAAACATGGCAAATCTTAGCTTTAATTATTTAATTAAAACACATTCAAAACAATATCTTCGAAAATCTCAATTCCATTAAAAACTTAAACTGTACACAAAATTATCTCGAATGAAACTGCGGTATTGCAAATCATTTTCACTTATTGACAGTTCGATATATTAGCTGGGCTCTTTAGTCAAAACATTATACAAACTGTATGCGTTTTGATGTAAACAGTTTTGCATCTGCATCTTTTTATCGAACCATACTTACACGACCAAAATAAATTATCCCTTCCGGCAAATACCTCTTTTTTCTCAACCAGGGCCTCGTGCACAATATCGGCTGAATGGAGGACGATAACAGTTTGACCAAAACCTGAAATGAATGGAAGAATTGAAAGGAATGTCTAAAAATTAGTCAAATTGGCTTAAATGCATAAAGAATGTACATACATGTATTTCATTTTATGGTGCGTTTACATTGAAACTACTACAGGTAGGTATTTCGTACTAGGTATTTTGGATTTTCTCTGCGATGACTTTCGCTAAATGTAATCAGATGAAAAGACTAACACGCTCCCCCCTAGCGTTGAGTAGAATGCAGAAAAGCTGTTGATTATACGATTAGGCCCTATACGTTCGAAACAAGAGCATCAAACGCTTCTTAATAATATCAAACTATATCTAAATTTAACTTCCTCGTTTAGACTTCATTTACCACACTTATATTTCACGCGGTGTTGCCAGTTCTAAATCAAAATTTCCTTACCCAGTAAGTGTGTACTTACCCTGGCTCCCGTTTCACAAAAAAACTTAATTCGGTTTCCCTGACTTGAGCTTGGTTACCAACGTAATTAAGTCGTTACGTCACTAAGTCCCGTTTCACAAAGAATCTAAAAGGTCGCTTACGTCGTTTTTTTCTTAGCTGCTAGTCGACGATGTCAAGCCTCCTCGGGAGGAGACTTAAGTCGGCAAGCTCAACTAAAACTCGGTAAATGAGAGCATAAACAACAAAAATTTGGAAAGAACATACCTCCTTCAAGATATTGTGTTATAATATCCTTAAATAGCTATGACATTTATGGAATATTGAAATAAAAAATAAAATTCCATTTTACCCAGCCGATCTCGTGTTTGTTTATGTTTTTGACCGCTAGACGTCCGTCAGCAGTGTTCCACGACAAGCTAATGTTTAACTGTTACTTTGAAGTTGTATTGAAGTTAAACTAATCAATAAAGTTCAAAAACAAACTTTGTTTGTGTTTTGGCTGATTTTTATTGTTGATAAACGATCGTTCTCGGCCGAAAGAGGCCATGAAACGTCATGTCTTGCGAAACTTTTGGAATTTTACACCTCCTTTTCTTGAAGAGTTTCTCGTGCGCGTCGACTTTGGTAAGCACGCCAAGCTAAGATGTTAGATTCTTTGTGAAACACTCCTAGTCGACTGCAGCGTAGTCGACCTAGCTAGGTCACCCAGCCCGAGCTAGTCGACTACGGATTTAAGATTCTTTGTGAAACGGGAGCCTGATGAAGGTTCATTGCACATCATACTTGACATAATAGTATTAATAATTTATTGAATGAACGATCTGACTTGTACGAAAGTAATTCATGTTAACACAGAATGGAACCGACCTAAGTTCACTGTAAATATATCGCCGTGTGTCTTTGCCATCTTCGTGAATACTGTGAACATCCGTTTGTCTTTCCTAAATGCTAGAAATAAAATAAAAACACCCGTTAAGCACATTGTGTAAAACAATAACAATTGTTATTTGGTTAAACGAAGTCAGTTGTAAAAATCTATATAAATGCAGATATGACATTCACTTTTGTACTGACCTAAGTAGTTCCCCAGTATCGGCAGCTGTGGGGGTCCTGGCGGCAGTTTGTACTTCCTCCTCTGTAGATATGACATCACCAACAGGAACACCATAACGCCAACCAAGAAAGTCTTCAAAGTAAGCCAACTTAGCACAGCAGTAACGTCCATCATCCTTGGAATGCATGAAAACATGTTCTTTAAACAGCGCTATACACATGAGTCTCAGTGCTGTAATTTATGTATATAAAAATTAAAACTACACAGATAAATTAAAGACTACTATAAAAGTAATAAAAATTAAAATATAATAAAGATAACCACGGGTACCCAATAAAGATCGCGGAAAACTTATGTGAAATGTGGTCGGACTTCCGAGTTTTACGGAGGAGACAGGCTGCTTATAATTTATGAATAGCCTAATGTTTTTTCTATTTGATTCTTAGGTATTCCGAACAAGAGGCTGTTGCAATAATCTAGTCTAGAGGTCACATGGATGAAATTCATTTGTATATTATTTTAATTGGTTTACATATTGTATCCGAAAGAAGCCTTATTCAAGTCCCGGCACTGGGCCAGTGCATTACCCCATGTACATCCTAAGCAAAAAAAAAACTACGGTCGGATATAAAGAAAAACAAGGATTTAACCAGTTAAACAAGGATTTAAACAAGGATATAACCAGATTTACCCAGTTAAAATTCTTATCAAATATGGTTTGAGCGCTGTGGCTTTCTATAAGGTATATATAGTATATATATGTTTCAATACCACTGCGGGTATATAAAGCTGAGCTTCTGAAAAGTGCATAATTTTTCATAAGTCCATACGCCTTCAATTATGAAAAATTAACACGCTCAACTGATGTTTTACCTAAACTGCCCCGTGCTTGATTCTCTTGTTTAAACATTTCGTTTGGATCAAGTTGTTATGTTAAAACCATGTTTGATCAATGCGTCTGTTAGACTTAAACAAACATATCCGTGTAAGTCAAAATATAGGGCGTCCTGAGAAGATAAGACTATTTATCCTTTTAATTTTCGTTGTAAACTGGTAATTAACGGTAAAAAACAACATTACATCTAGATTTTTGGGGAGAGATTGGTTAATATTTTTAATAACAAAATATGCTAATAACTTTAACACCAGACTTTTCAAAATACTGTCATATACACGGTACTCGAATCTTGATCTGAAAAATGGTAATAGATACCGCTCCTCTTCCAAAATTGACACACCGTTTAAACAGCTAAATATATATTTAATTGAGTATGAAAGCAACATAGCAAAAACAATTACAATTAAATGCAATACGAAGCTTTGACTTGATCTAAAAAAATACATGGGACCAGGTGGAAATGTATGGCTTCTCAGTGGTCAGAATATATAAATTTAGACACACTGACCATAGAGCTCTGAAATTAATTCAGGACAAAAATTACATAATGTATATCCCTTACATTTATTTTCCATCTTTTTTTTTTTTACAATTGACTGTATTTTCGTTGGTTTTCCAATTATACATGAAAGCAACATATCAAAACAGTCGCTATCATTTTATTGTTATATTAATGGCAGTTAATGAGAATTGATTTGTTTTCTACATGTACTACAATGGTACCTACATATATATATCTTAACACCGACCTATTAACAAGACGCAGGTGACCAGTGAGTGGTCAGTCTCCTCCCACCCTCTCACCCGCCGTTAAATTAAGGCTCCATTCCAGAACATATTATAGGTTAGTGTAGATATATGTTAAGTATATTGTGAATAAATTATTTTTGAGCCACAATTACTTTGTGTGAATTAACGCTAATTCAAATAAAACAAAAAAGGTCTTTCATTGATCGAAACAAGCACTTATCAAAAGGAAAGAAAAAAAAACCTCCCTGAATGTCAAAATCATTTATCATGATTAATTTAGATCAAATAAGAACGCCAGTATTATACAAATCTGAGTAAACTGTTGACCGTCTAGTTCGGTGGATCCACAGTTATATTTCCCTTTAATGTACTACACATATATCATAAACTTACCTCTCTGTACAACCAATGACTTTCAAACGCCCTTTTACTTGCCCCTAATATGTCTGCGCACCAGACACAAGTGTATGTGAACTAAGGACGTCTACCATAAATAACCTCATTTGGACTAGAGCTATCTGTTTGTCATCGTGTCTTAAACCCACGTCAAATGACAAGGTCAATTGATAAGATAATATAAGGCATAGCGGGTCGTGGGCAAAGACGGATTACTTATAGTTCCCAAACATCAATATGTACCTAAAGTACAAAAGAGCATCAGTCTTGTAGCTTGTTGTCAAACATTAATAGGAAAGTTCTTCTTTAAGTAGCCAAATGTTCACAAGCACAACGAAGCTCTGTTTTTGCTCCGAAGTAAGTAAGATAAGTCCATATGACTGAAAATTGTCATTTATTAATGTAGAAAACTAATAAGATACAAAGTTACAAAACTGGGGAGATAACATAACATCCCCCAAATTATTTAAGTGCCATAATATAAAAGCAATAAAATATGTTAATGAGTATAACCAAGATTAATTAAGAAAAATATGAGAAAGCACAACAGCTATAGGAGCAAAAAGTTGACACAAAAATAAAAGGCCATAAGATGTGAGAGAAGCACACATCCCTGCCAACCGAGGAGTGCTTGTGAAAATATTGGAATGATTAACAACATCTAACATGATATCTGAATCCTATGTGCTACTAAAATAAATTTGTGCAACTACAAACCCATATCCCAGGAAGAACATGTACAAATAAAAATAAAGAAACGTAAGTAATAATACAGTATGGCTGCTAAAACTGCGAGTAAATATCTCCGCAGCTAAAAAGCTGAACGACTTCTCACTGAAGCAGCTCGATAGAAATAGTTCCCAAAAACATATTTCATAAGAATAAATGTGTGTGCCTAGATACACAGCAGCTAAGACAATTTACAACCCCGGACATCTGTTATCACCTTACCTTGGGCAACTGCTTAAGGTCAAAATGTGCAGACACAAGATCCAAACTGAGACTATTTCCTATAAACAAAACGTTGATGTATTATTAACAAAGTTATTACCACCACTAGAAACAAACAATTTCCTACATAAATGCAATTAATTGTCTTAATTGTAGTTTGACAACTAGAGCGTCAAATCCATTGCATGCCAGCTTCATCATGTTCTACAGACTTGACATTTAATATGGAATATTTTTTTCCAAATAATTTTTCATCAGGTTTTTCCTATTTTGCAGACTGATAAATGAAAATAGGGATTAAAATCGTGTTTTAATAACTTTTAATTATCTCTTTGATGTCATTGTGACATCATTTCATTAATGGAATTCGCCAGAGAAGCAAACAAAAACACATTGCCTATTTTATGTCATACAACAACCATTAAAAGGGATATTTTAGACCTCCATATTTTCTAAATTTTTTTCTGTAAAAGAGGTAAACGCTCCACAAAAGGACCCTGATGTCAGTGTCTTGTCACAGTAACGGTCGCTGTTACGCCTGACTTCTTCTGGCTGCTACCAGCGCTCTCAAGTGGCAAGACATTCAATGGGATAGGTTTTTAAAGTTCAATCTGGAATAATATTCCAGGCATTGGTCAAAATCTGCCCAATTTGGTCCAGTTTTGTTGTAGGACACGTAGGCCATTGATTCGGAGAGTAATGGCCTACCCACATATTGTCTAAGTGGTTCAAATATGGCGATTTTGATGACCAAGGTAGCTGCTCATTCCCTTGGTTCTGTAAGTAAACTGCTATTAAAAGTGTTCTGTATGAACCGGTAATCTCACCGTGCAACCTAAAATTGTTCCTAAGTTGTCCCCTATCAAATGATAGCAAAGTGGTTCCCAGATTGTTTCTTTATTTGATCTGGTTCAGGTTTTCGTCGATGACTACCATTGGTGTTTTGGCACCAATGTGGTATCCACTCCAAATACTGACGCTGTTAATGACCTTAGTCACTTTAGACGCGGCACGCGCTTCGTCGTTGGCCTCTTCTGGATGTCTGTAAACTCTGTTTTGACTGTTGAGCGGTACAGGTGAAATCTGACCTCAATAAAGAAAGCCACAAGGCTTCAGTGTTCAACCCAGAAACAGTCAAGGTACCCAATTCAATAGAGATACATACAACGATGTTTTGCTGTTTACAGTGGGTTCCTCGGAGGTCGTCTGGTGTTCAAACCTGCTAAAACCAGTATGGTGTTCGCTAAGGGCCTTGAAAAATGCGTTTTGGTGGTAATTTACCCCTCATTCTGAACGGACTAGGTGGTTTTTGTTTAGTTGCAACAGCATATCCCGAAGGACAGTGGGTCCTGTACCCTGGTGGTAAGATTTCAATACATTGGGTGTGGCCTCTGTGTAGGTACATCCGTCTGGGCATTACTCTGTAAAACTGTGCGGACCGTTTCGTTTGGCGCAATTACCTGTCTGGTAATGCCTGTCTTTTTCGCGCCATTCTGCCACAGATTAACAAATTTGTAAAGCACTGCATAGCTCATTTTTCAAACTCCGAACCCGACCACTTGCATGCAAAATTTCAAATTCTTCTATGCAGTAGTTGCTGACATATGGATACTTTTTTGACAGAACCATGCTTTGCCAAAGCCAAGCTTTGACCTACCCAAAGAAACATTACCCAATTAAATCACTGCATATTACATAATGCAGCTGCGCAACAAACCTGGTAATCAGTTAATTGGTAGCGACACACCTGACTACACACTTTTCCCCATTCACATATCTTATATGAGATCGGAGTTTGTGAAAATAAACGCATTTTCACCTAGGCGTACATTCGAAACTGAAATATTCCATATCAAATGTCAAGTCTGTATTTCATATACGTGCACGCCATGCTTATCGGAATTACAGTGAGCTTTAAGATCCTTCCTGTCGCACGGTACTTTTATCTGTATCACAACTAATCATATGCCAATGTCCTGCTCATCAAAAACTTAGTCACATTATAAATCACTGCATCTAGGATGTGCAAATCTCTCTTTCAGAAAATTAAGAGTGACAGTGATGAGCTGAATTATATCATTCAAAATAGCTGAAACGCAAAACATTAACGTGTTACGGTGGATCCCACCCATCCAGGATTTTTATTTAAAATTCTTACCCAGCAATAGTAGACATCTGACTTAAAAGGGCAACAAGTAGTTGTTAACTAGTTTTATCCTATTGCAGCATCTTATCTTTAAGCCCAATTCATAAATATTATAATATTCGCTTGTTTATTTTAGTTTTTATAATCTCTTGGTGAAAAACCACTTATTGGTAATTACACCCTTACAATTTAATCATTATATTTTTGATGTTTTCCCTTTTTACTGAGAAATGAAAATTTTAATAGTCTAATAATAAATTATAATAATAATAAATTTATTCTGAGTCTAAAATCCTTTATAACATATTCAGAAGACTTTACATATACATAAAAAAATTACTTAAGATACCAATTATTAGGAATAGATAAATGAAAAATTACACAGCTTAACGACAAAAAAATTAAGAGTATTCTAGATAAAACATACGGATTCTCACATAAAAGCACTTACAATAAATAACTAAAATATGTTTGTTAAGAAAAAATAATCAATTCTAAATTAAAAAAACAGCCTTATTTGCACACAGAAAAGATTATAGGTAGAACAGCCTTATTTCTTTTAGCACAAAAAAAATGCAATTACTGTAAAATTTGTAAAGTCAGTTTAAAAGTGGATTAAACAAAATTTCTCCATTAAAAAATCCATTTGGGGTATAATTATCTGAGGGTATTTTTCTGATCGTTTTTTCTCAAGAACTGTCAAATTATTCTAAAGCACAGCAGTAAAAATATTTACCATGTGCCATGTGGTACTTTGGTATACATGTAGCATCACCTGTTATAATATCAAAGACGATATAATGGACGCATGTTTTTTTTTTTTTTTTTTTTTTTTTTGAATTGAATAAAAGCAAACCCCACTTCACACGGATTTTCGATTTTCGACATCATATGAAGTCTCATATGATGTCGTACACTGCCGGCGGCCTATATTTAGAATGTTTGGTATCATGCCCATTGATGGGACAAGCTTTTTCCTTCAAAATGTCTTGGAACTTTATCATCAGTATGTCAGAATCATAACGTATCGTCATAGTTTTGCTTTGAACGTCCATCACCATGAATTCAACACCCAACTGTCCCATTCAATTTTTTTTTCTTATTTTGATCTTCTAAGAAATTGTTTTCCTTTTTTCTATGATCAACTTCTGCGGCGCTGAGAGGCAGTCAAAGAAGGCCATAACAGGTTCGAAATCCGGTTTCTGTCCTGGAGGAAAACTTACTTTGAACCGCTGGAAAAACATGGCCTGAAAAATAGGATAAAAAAGCAAAGATTCAAAGGGCAATCGATACTTTTATACAATAATCTATATCGTTTCTGGAATTATTTTACAACAATAATAAATCAAATCTATTTTATGATATTTTTCATATTGACATATAGTAATAAAGATGTATTTCACTTTGTTAAAGCTAGAGGATGGTTTATGGAGTTTAATTGCCCTTTCCTTACTGGATACCAGTATTTACTTTTGCAGTTACCATCTATAACATTCCTATTCCTAGGCAAAGTGGTTACATTTCTGGACCAACGTGATTTGCACTTGAAAATGGAAATTTACATGAACCAAGACAACATGTTTTTTCTTCCTTTTTCTTTATATTCATGGAATAATTCTTTTAATCCTATTATTTTTGTGTTTGTTAAAGGGGAAATGTGGTGTGGCCAAACGTTATGTCTACGTACCATAATCATCATGATATCAGCTTTGGCCAGACCTTCTCCGGCACATTTCCTCTTCCCAGAGGAGAACGGCAACCATATCTTGGTATCAATCGGTTTCAGGTTCCCATCTTTGTCCAAAAATCGCTCTGGTTTGAAAACTTCTGGTGACTCCCAATTTCTGGGATTATGGTGTATCCCCCATACATTTGGAAATACCAATGTCCCCTTTGGCAGGTCGTAACCGCCTAATTGTTAAAAAGAATGATAACATGATAACATTGCAAATGTAACCATCAAAATATGCTTCATTGTTTTACTATGACATAAGATTTTCTTTTTACACTCAACAAGGCACCCTTTCTTTCTTTCAACTTAAAATACATTTGAATGATATACCATGCAAAGTCAGCTACATATTTAAAATTATTTGGTAACCATGGAGTCACGCTCAGATGCACGCACATGTATACCAAGACACATAAGTACACACATATGCGCTCTCGTAAAGATTCACTAAAATTCTCATGCAAGGATAATTGCACTATTACATAATCAAGAACAGCTCCAAACACACACAACCACGCACTCAAACATGCGCGTGACGTGCACGAGCAGTTTACCTATTTTTGAGTCTCGAATCGTTTGGTGCGCGAGGGCCACTGGAGCCACTGGACGCATGCGCATAACTTCGCGGAGAACTGCCTCGCAATATGGCAGCTTGGATTTACAGTGACGCAGGCCGTCTAGGTCGTCCTCTGGGCGAAGTATTGAAAGCAAATACAAATTTAAGAGATAGTAAAGTAAAGTTGTTGTCGATAAAAAAACGAAAAAAATTGCTAAACATTTGTTTCATATCTATCCTTGTCCCTTCACATTTGAGAAAAACATGACTTGTCACTTTGTTTCCCTATATGCATGGTGCTCAACAGGTTTGAAATATCCGAAAAAATTCATTTTCCCTACATACCATAGATTAAGTTGAAGCCGTTTAGTAGGTAAGAACCGTTATAGTATCATATATTGACCTTATAGTAAAAATCATTATCTTTATCTTTAATATTATTATTATTTTAATCATAACAGTATGTAATGTGAACTAGCACTTTTGCAAAAATGCAATGAACAAACAGAGCATACATGTTGGTAAATGGAATAAATTTTATTTTAGTAAGTCTTTCTTTATATCAGTAATTTTTTTTTCTTTTTTATTTCAGAGATACATGTAGAAACTGATACAATCCTATCTAAGTTTGTTTGTTTGTTTGTTTGTTTGTGCGTGTGTGAGAGAGAGAGAGAGAGAGAGAGAGAGAGAGAGAGAGAGGGAGAGAGAGAGAGAGCGAAGGTAGGGAGAGACCTTACCTAAAACTCCACTTATTTCCCGGTGCATCTTCTCCTGTACTTCCGGGTTGTCTGCAACATACAGCATGGTCCATTTTAGTGTTTCTGTTGACGTATGAACCCCAGCTAGAAATATAGAGAATAACACTTCAATATGCTTTCGGAGAACCAGCTGAATGTGTTCTAATGAGAGGCTACAAAATAAACTGGCTCTCTGCAGGCATGGATTCCAATTGCTAGTGGTAGTTGGATTTTTTATTGCAATATGGGACCAATGGAGCAAATCAGATAAAGTTTTTGTTGCCAAAGAACGGCACAAAAATTAATGGAAATCCATAGGACTTTATGCATGTACGTGTTAACACATGGAATGCAAATATTGAAATGTACCAAGAAACACGTCTAGTATGGTCTGAATGATATGTTTGTCTGTTAAAATCTCCTTCAGGGATCCGTCGCTCTCCGCCTCCAGCTCTTGGCGTGCCAGCAGCAGTTGGTCTGTAATGTCTCTTGCCTGTCCTGAAAAACAGATAATCATCTTAAAGCCAGCATGCTATCCATGCCCATATGCCCTTTAAATCTTGTACAATACAATGTTTATGGAACTTACAAAGATGCATATTACTAGCATTACAGGATATGCAGTATTGTTGGTATGAGGGTTTAATGCTAAGTAAATACCTGCTGCCAAGGTTGATTTGTGCTCCTTGACCTGTACAGCTTGGAAATCAATCATTTCTTTCAATATCCGTTTTGCATCCAGTGTTGACTTGATTGGCACATATTTCAAAAAAGGTACAAGATCAGCCGGCAAAAAGTCTGTAAACAGCTTATCCATTTCGTCCATTTTGTTTTTTAGCCAAACAAACTCAGGGTCATCGATTTTGTAGCTGAAATTATTGATTATACTCCCTGTACCTTCTCATTTAACAAAAATATGCCAATTGAAAACACCTCCAACTTTTTACACACCTCAAGACTACAGTTACTTACATACATAGTTGCTCACAAACATTAAGTTGATGCCAAGTTATTTTCTTAAAAATAAAGATCGGATTTTCACCTTACTTCCTTAACCCTAAAGGTGAGAACTTTTCTTTAAAATGAGAAGAGACAATACTACTTTGAAATGAGATTTAGAAGGCACCTTTTCCCATAGGTCATCCTGCAGATGACATTATAAACCGTCAGGCGAATATATTGGGACAAATCCAAAGGTTCCGTTTGTTTTTCCAACAACATGGCGACTTCCCCAAAAGAAGATTTTGCAAGTTGCTCTAGCTTATCACCGGCTATGTACGTCCTGAAAAGTAGACACACTACCACATAGACGTTTACCTATTTAAGAATGATAAAACGCATTGATCTTGGGTTAGAAATGGGGAATGGTTAATCACAACTGATTTTTTTTTTTTTTTTTTTTTTTTTTTTTGTCTCTGGAGGACCAATGTCGGATTCTAGTACCTTCTGTAACAACACGTTACAGTAGAATGCACACGTTTTTAAATCATCATTGTTTATTTTTTCCATTTCCAAAAGTTTATCAGTCTGACAAGACTTATTGCTGTACCTGAATGCTTTCATAGCCATTCTCCTTTGCATGGTCCATAGGTGTCCATAATTAGCGAATATGATGTCTTTATATCCCCCTGACATCAATTCAACTGCAGAAAATAAATAACATATCCTTGTGATATCACAGATACATATATGTTTTTTGTGATAACTAAATACGATAAACAATAGATAGCAGACTGTAATCGAATTTAAAAACGTCTAAAACAAAAACTTGAAAATCTAAAATCCATGAATTGAAAAAAAATAACTGCACCGAATTGTCTGAAATGGAATATCGGTAGTGTAAAGGATTTTACTTAGCGATTAACTGTTCGATAAATTAGCTGGCATCTTTCGCCAATCATCATAAGAGTCTATAGGTTTGATGTAAACGTAGTACAGTTCTATGTCTGCAACTTTCCTTATCAACCATACTTACACGACCAAAATCTATCATCCCTGCCTGCAAAGACCTCTCTTTGCTCCACCAGTGCCTCGTGCACAATATCCGCTGAATGGAGTACGATCACCGTTTGGCCAAAACCTGATGTTAATAGATAAATTTTAATTATTTATTATTAAAGACATTAACTGAGGGAAGTATATTAAGGCACATGTACGTTATTATAGATTAAAGTACTCAATAAAAAGCAATGGTTTCAGCAATTAAAGGCCCATTCCCATAGAACCTATCGGTCTGAGTACACAGTTTCAACTCCGCGAGGACTTTCTATGAACGCAGTGAGTTTTACAGATTACCACGCCTTCTCCTGGCGTTGGGTAGAAAAGCTGGTATTTATACGGTATTTATACGAGTACGTTGGAAACAACATGAGGCGTGGTAACCTGTTAATGTTAGACTAACTGCTTTCAGCGAGAGTCCCCGCAGAGTTCGGTCGATCTACGTAGACCGATGATTTCAATGGGGTGAGCTCTTAGCATATTATATTTCCCCTATAGAACATCTATGATGTACTGTAGTACGAATATACGCTGTAAAAAATTGAATTGAAATTAAGTAGGCCTACTCTGTAGCCCTTCCTTAAAACTAAGGTAGCCCCCCTACCTTAAAGCAAACGCCTTGGATAGTGGATAAGATCCGCCATTTTGTTAAGGAATTTAAAGAACCACTGACGTTATAAATTCGAAGACCATGCATCACGCTTAACAGACAGTACTGGGAATGTACTTGCTTGTGGTCGCGGAACATATATTCAAATCCATTATTTAGACTTTCACACGTCGACTCAATATTGGACTAATATTTAACTAGATGCTGCATGTTTTAAATCAATGTCATCTCACTATATTACGGCTTATGGCTTTGCTAGAAGGTACATTGGATATCATACTTGAAATAACGGTACACCAGAAAATTTATTGTGTAAACCAACAGACTTGTACGAAAGTAATTATGTTAACACAGAATGGAACCGACCTAAGTTCACTGTAAATATATCGCCGTGCGTCTTCGCCATCTTCGTGAATACTGAGAACATGCGCTTGTCCTTCCTAAATGCTGAAATAAAATATAAACATCCGTTTAGAACATTTTTGAGAAGATAGTTTGGCAGTTTTTTTATGTGTGCAATCGAAAACAGCTACCTGTACAAATCTTGAAATTGTATATTATGGACTGGTCAAAAAATTCAGCGGGCGGATAATAGTAAGGGGGGTCACAATTTCTGAGCGTGCAAAAAGGTATGGGCCAAAAAATTCAGCCATGCATTAAGAGTGGGCCACAAATTAATGAAGCTTTATTTTTGGCAACAACATCGTTTTTTGATTACAATTTGTAACTATAATACACTTGAAATAATACAGCCTGATAGAGGTCTTACATGTACCACAACATCTGGTTCTTCTTTTTTTAACGTGCGGGTTGAAGACCAAACAACAACGGTTTCTCGTGGTTATAAAACATAATATTAAGCTATTTAAATAACGTAAAACACATTAAAATCATATAAAATATACTTGCACATTCTCAGGATAAGTCGAAAAGGGTTCAAGGTCAACCAGTAACTTCTGCAGTTCTACCCAGCTACCAGACTCGGCAACGAATGATCCTGATATGAATTCACCAGTAGATCAGACCACACTACCCGTTTTCAAGGTGTACGTCAGTAAGCGCATAGAAGTATCAGACGCGACACCGCTCTCGACCAGTACGAGATGTGACATAGCGATATGCATCTCAACTCAAAATTTGTTCAGGGGTATGATACTGTGAAATGCGTACACCTTGAAAACGGGTAGTGTGGTCTGATCTACCGATGAATTCGGGATCATTCGGTGCCGAGTCTGGTAGTTGGGTAGGCCTGTACTGGGGGTCAGTCATTTATTTTAAGGGTGTTTAAGGGTGGGGCATGGAGTTTGGTGGCAAATAAGTGAGGGAGTGCGCCACATAAAAAGCCATTTGCTCCTATGAGATCCCCCCGTAATTTACAACCAGCCCCTTTAAGCAAAACGTCGTTCGTTTTTCTTCTTACCCAAGTAGTTCCCCAGTATCGGTAGCTGTGGAGGTCCTGGCGGCAGTTTGTACTTCTTCCTCTGTAGATATGACATCACCAACAGGAATACCGCGACCCCGACCAAGACCGTCTTCAAAGTAAGCCAACTTAGCACCGCAGCAATATCCATCATTCTGGGAAAGCATTAAAAAGTGTCATAGAGATGAATTTCAGTTGGAAGAAGTAGTAGTACAACAAAAACATCGCGGCTGGGTCTTAAGAAGAATCGAAGATAGTTTATAACTTAACTCTGAATTGAAAGAAAATTGTAGAGTGAAAACATTTGACTACGAGTCTTAGATCTACCACGTTTTTCTCACAGAGCAAAACAGTTCAGTCACGATCAAAAGCTCATTTCCAACATCCCCCCGTATAATTATAAGATTAACAAATACATACTCTCTCATGATGAAAACCACTGAATTATGAATTGAAAGCTCAGTGCAAACAAAGCGCCTACTTAGGACAACATCGTCATACGGGAAGTTCCTTCTTGCAATCTACCCCTAATGCGCATGTGCAGAACGATTTGTCACGGAACTGGTCTATCATGCCACATCGGATCATCTGACAGTAATCTAGTGAGACTCCCCACGGGGATAGATCGATCTAAAATCTATAGTCTGTTTAGCCCATCTTTTGGGAGATTCACGAATGTATCATGTTCTTACACCTAGAATAACAAAGAAGGAATACCTTGGGGTTGCTTTTCTATATTGCTGCCCCGTGACCGGCTCTCTATTTTAAATTTTCATTTTTGAAGAGTATATATGTCCAGATCGCGTTTTATTAATGCGTTTGTAAGGAAAAGAAACACGTTTCAACTGATTGTTTTAACTCAGCTGTTCGGGATTGACTCTCTAATTTAAACATTCTATTTGATAAGAGTTTATATTGCCAATGTTGTGTTTGATCAATGTCTCTGTTAGACTTAAACAAACATGTCCTTGTATGTCAAAATATAGGGCGTCCTGAGAAGATAAGACTTGTCTCTCACTATTTTCCTTCTGCCACGTGTAAACACCTTTGATACCTGTATTAGTTGATTCATGAATTTTAAAACAAAATGCATCAACAAATGTAACATCATTATTTTCAAAATACAGTTAACAACTACAAGAAAATGTTATATGAAACTTGGACTTTGATACAAGAAATGACCTGGGTCAAAGTGAAAATACGTACGTGCTAACTGATAAAAAAATTACATCAATTAAGACTCACAATGGGCAAAGTAAAGGCAGTTCTCGTTCTGTTCGAGCTTTAGAATTAACAAAAACAATAAAATAATTATAAATATCCCCTTAATTTTTTTCTTCTATTTTATTATTATTAATTTGGATTTTATATTGTTTTGTAAAAACAACTCTCGATCGACACAAAGACAAGAGCTAACATGCATTTCAGAAGGTCAAAATCAATAATCAAGCTTAATATAGACCAAATAAGAACGCCACTTATCATAAAGCAGTATACAAGTCTGAGTAAACTGTTGGGTGTCTTGTTTGACAGACCTGCAGTTAGGCCTATATCATTCCTTTTTGCAACTAGCCTCTTGTCACAGTCAAATTACATATTATCGCCATCCTGTACCTTTAAAATGCCTTTCTACCTGACCCTTAGATTACTCCGTTCACCAGACAAAATAAGAGCGTCTACCATAAGTGACCCCATTTGGACTAGAGCTGTCAGTTTGTTTGCAATCGTGTCTGAAACCGATGTCAAATGTAAGAGTGTTGACCACACAAGACGAAAGTGTGTTTAGTTCGTTGATAATCCTGACACTATCTTTTCCACATAATGTACTAAAAATAGTACTTGAACCTAGTAACTACATACATTGGGTTTCTTCGTCCCAAATGTAGGCCCCTACCCATTAAATATAGCACAGGTAATGAGCTTACTTTCACTGCATGTCCCGACACTAAAACTGGTAAAAGCTGGACATCAATAAGGAATAATTGAGCAAGAAAAATTGGAAAGAAAGTCCCACATGTAGGAATGGAAGTCCAGGGTCCCCTATGATTAGTACAGATTTAGTAAGGCGGAGTATTGCGGTTAGTATATGGGACGAACGTCACCTGTGCTGTAGGCCTACAAACTAATGTGGAACGGACTACGGTTCCTTGCGGACTACCATACCTGTCACAGCGGCCTGCCCAGATGCTAAAATTATTTCTTGGTCATCCGTTCAACACACATGTAGTACACAGCGGTGATATGCGGCCGTTTGTTTGTGTTCTAAGCCTCGCTTTCGTTTGGCCTTGGCTCAGCCGTGAATAAGGTCTAAGGCAAATACAAGACACAATGGGTTGCAAGCAAAGACGGATAAATTAACAAACATCAATATTCCCCCTGCGTGGAAGCTATAGGAGGGTCAGTCTTGCGGCTTATTGTCAAACATTGATGGGAAATTGAGTCCTTCATAACGTATCCTTCAAATCTGTCAAACCCAATGCTTGCCAGCTTTGTCATGTAGGCTACCTGTAGAGTTGTGTATGTACACAGTATGTGGCCTCCATGCTTATCGAAATCATGCAGCGATGTTCTCTTCCCGTAATGTGTTGCTTTTATCTTTATTATACAGAACGATGAAAGCAACGGTTATGATACAATGTACCTAAACCATGTACATTGTACAGTGTAATCAGTTCTCTCCTTACATGAACTCGCTATCGTTGTGTAACGTGAGAATCATGTGCTTAAACGTGCCCTACTTGTATCTTTCTTTACATTAAAAGCTGCTTTTTTTTTTTTTTTTTTTTTTTTGCTGTTGTACAGGTGTTACCTGCATCTTAAATCATAATGCCGGTGTAGGTATTCATCTATTATTTGATGTCCGAAGTGAGCATCAGGGTCGCTTAAGTTGGCACTCCACCGGTAGATTTTATTATTGATATGAACCCCGTTTTCCTCAACAAATAGGCATGACACCTTGACTTTATGTATACAGTAAAACGGTCCATGTGCCCTTCTGAAGTAAAGTTTTTTGAAAAAGATTTTTTTCGTAGTTTTTCCGTAGTTGTTGATAATCCTGTGAATAGCTTAATTTATTTTATAGTATACTACATGTGTAAACATATATGAATGTATTACCTTATATAGGCTATTGTGTAAAAATGTTGTCTAGAGAGCAAGCAAATGTATTAATATCATTTAGTACTCAATAAACTTATTATTATTATTATTATTATTATTATTATTATTATTATTATTACTGTTATTTGTAAATAAAGGGTTTTATATTAGATACTCCGCTGACACTATTGACTGTGGTAGCATTCTATACCTTCCCTGCATCAGGTTGATACTGTGCATGTAGTGATAGTAAATTGAAGAGGTTTCATAAAAATATACTCTTGTACAGGTGTTACTTGTATCGTTTATCAAAATCCCTTTTAGATGTCCATCTTTGATTTGAAGTGCATTTATAGTGAGTAACACTGTCTAGTTGGCACTCCACTGCATTATGATTATATTATTGACAGGCAACCCGCTGTCTGCTCGACCAGAAAGACAAGCAGACCGGTGAAAGCAAGACTTTTGACACATTGACTGTGAACTGTGTGATCAGCTATAATATAGGGTCAAAAATGGAGGATGGATCAATTAAGATAATTTGGAAGACTGTCAGAAAATAGCTCTAGACCCGCCCCTGTATATCCGTACACGCTGTTGTTGTGTGACACAGTGAGAATCGTTTCATGTTACAACATGTGTCTACTTGATCTTTCTTTTATGATATAAAGAGCTACTGGTAGCTACATGAAACGCCCTTTTGTAAAATTTTTATACAGGCTTATGGCGAGATTATACATAAGGGAGAAAAATATGTTTAAGTTCAAGAAAAATTGGCCGATTAATTATCGACTTTGAAGTTTTATCAAATATCATAACAAGCAATAAGTGAATGCAGCAACCGGTGGATAACATGTACGTAGCCCATTGGGTTATTTTACAAAAGGGCACATTTTTCTATCTGCACTGTGAATTCACCTTTTTTTTTTCATTTCAAGAATAAGCTTAACCTGCTGTCTTTTGATTGATGTATGTTTTTCGAGAAAAGCCCCCCATAAATGAGTAACACTTTGGTCATTTTAAGAAACGATACAATTGACCCTCTACATGATAACGTATTGATTAAAATAGAGAATGCCGTCATTCCCGAAGGTTTGTTTTATAACAAGTAATGTAAAATGTTCTTCTGTGGAACGTCATTTTCTTTTCTGAACAACTATCTTCTGAGGCTTGGGGCTGCCATTTATTTCAAGCATCATAGGCTCGAAGTCCGGTTGGGCACCTGACGGAAAGCTCACCTTAAACCGTCGGAAAAACAATGCCTGTAAATGAAATTAATAAAAAATATTGATACGTGGATAGTGAACATACAATATTTATATATGTAAATAAGATGTAATATGAAGAACTATTGCAGAAAAAAAGGAATAAAACCCTTATGGGAAGATTCATTCCAAAAGTCCGAAAGCCACTTCAAATTAAAATGATGTAGTTTTTGTGCTATTTTATGTATATAAAGAAAACCCTTATTCCACGAAATACATATACCGGTAATGCGTTGTAAACGTGCCCAGTAGGTATTGTATAGAATATAATTTTCTCTAGCTCCACCTACCATGGTCATGGTGATATTTGCCCTGGCAAGTGCTTCTCCCACACATTTCCTCTTGCCACTGCTGAACGGCAGCCATGTCTTTTTGTCCAGTTCTTTCAAGCTACCATCTTTGTTTAAAAACCTCTCTGGCTTGAAAACTTCCGGCGATTCCCAGTTTTTCGGGTCATGGTGGATTGCCCATATGTTCGCATAAATAATAGTGCCTTTTGGGATATCGTAGCCACCTACACGTAGATGGATATAAAGGGTGTACATGATGCATTGCCAAGTATTCAAACCGCAATGGCTTAAATAAGTCTTCATGTTATTATACAGCTGTGTAAAAGCAAGGGCAGTGAAGAAAGTGTACGAGCCGATGTGCATTAAAAAAGACGTGACAATTCATTAAAAAGATGTTAAACAAGATAAAGAGGAATAGCAAAAACAGCAGTGATATTTGAAACAGTCTTTGGTCTTTAAACTTCTTATCACCTTGTACCCCTTGCTTTCTAGGCTGGATGACGAATATTTGATATCCATGATCACGATAGATGAGCTGTTAAATCAGTAACTGTATTTTATAGGCGAGCAAATGAAGTACGGTGATACCTAACCTAATTTGGTGTCACGAAGCGTTCTATGACGTAAACCCGCTGGGGCTGCAGGACGCATGCGCAGTACCTCTCTCTGAACAGCTTCACAGTAATTCATCTTATTCTTGCAGTGACGGAGTTCGTCAAAGTCGTTTCCTATGTGTCAAGAGTGGGAAAACGGACATTTAGAATGTTTTACAATATGTGATAATCTTTAAAAGGACATTCACACAATATATATAGTTCAGGCACACGATTTACCAAAACTGTGACAACAACGCAATGCGTTACAATAAAATAATATATGTAACTTTGACTTTGATCCGAGAAATGTCATGGATCAAGGTGGAATAGATATGACGTCTCAGCGGTCAAAAACCTATAAATACAGACTTTAATAACCACATGCATAGTAATGTTTACCCAAGCCGTCCAACTCCTTGTGTATCTTTGCCTGAACTTCCGGATTATCTGCCACGTACATTATTATCCACTTCAACGTGTCGGATGTGGTCTGGGTTCCAGCTACATGTACAAGATATACGTTTCAGCTTCTAAAGGACATCTTAATACTTATAATATGGGTTTTATACTCAGCATCACATTACATGAAAAATCATTACATATGAGTTATGTAAATCCAACAGACTATTTCTATTCCATAACCGACTAACATGACACGTTTATATATAGCACAAAATAAAGAAAGCAAAATTAGCTGGAAGTCACTGAAATTGATGTTCGTGTCTCAGGTTCACCGTGAAAGCGACCAACAACTTTGGATACAACAAAATAGATCATAAAATTACGCGACAATGGTGAATTAACCACAGATAAAGCAGGTAGAGCTGTAAAACATCCTGGTTCTGTTATATTATAACTAATTCTTCGTTACATTTTATATTCAGCATACCAAGAAATATATCCATCATGGTTTGGAGGATTCTAGTGTCAGAAAGCGACTCCCTAACATTATCATCACTTTCATCTGTTAATTCTTCCTTCAACAGCAAAAGGTGGTCTGTGATGTCCCTCATGTTACCTTCATAATGAAAGGATGCCATAATTTAATTACAACTGCTGATCGAATATATATTCTCAATAAAAAGGTGTTGAGTACAAAACTCTATAAGGTATAACTTTAACATTACATAAGTATGTATCAAGATAGTAAAACGATTCACCGGGGATAATCTCTTTCCTGATACCATAAAAAATGTTCAATACAAAAGCAATCAATCCACACTACAAAATATTATGCATTTTTTATAATTACTGAGAAGGATACGAACCCTTATTTAAAGAAGTTTCGTGGAGTTCCAGTTGGACTTTGTGGAAGTCGATCAGTTCCTTCATCAGTCGTTTCGCCAAGAGAGATGATGGGATAGGCAAATGTTTCAAGAAGGGGATGACGTCAGAGGCAATGGGGCCTGAGAATAGTTTTCTGTTGATTTCCGCCAATTTGTCCTTCACGAAGACGAAATCTGGATCGTTGAGTTTGAAGCTGCAATATATATCATGCTTTAGTTTACAAAAACGTTATCTGGTGCCATGTGTTAACCCTAACGAAAAAGTCCTGTAGGATCCTATAAGATTCTATAGGATCCTACAGGAAATTGGCTCAATTTCCTATAGGATCCTATAGGATCTTATAGGACTTTTTCGTAAGGGAATTCATTTTGTTTATTCTACATAAAAGTTATTCATGTTAAAATGTACTGGTACACAAATATTTAAATGAACGTGGATGCTCATCAGGCAATGGGATGATGGTTTTCATAGGAGAAACAGTTAAAACTATAAATCAAGGTAAACTATCTTTTATGTATTAGGAAAGCATGTGATCCAGACAATAACCTACCCTTTCCCAAACGCCATTCTGCTCATGATACTGAACATAAGTAACCGAATGTGGACATCCATGTCAAAGGGCTCGGTCTCCTTTTCAATCAAGCTGGCAACTTCATCAAAAGCAGATCTCGTGAATGCTTCCAATTTATCACTTGCTAAGTAGGTCCTAAACGACGAAAAATAATGAGCGATCTTCTGTGACTTAAATAGGGTTTTAATTTACAAATGAAAATAGGTAGATGTGCAAATTAATAAAGTGTATGCTGTGTATGTAGGCATTAAGATGAATATTCATTAAACACACAAAGTGTAGACTCCTTATAACGGATTTATATTCAATATTATCAATGAAACAAAAAGGGTAACCAGCAATTTGATTGACGTCCTGAAAGCCTTTAAAGATATCACACGGGACCATACTCACAGAACATTATATCTGAATTCTACTTGTTGAATACTAGTAGTTAAAGATGTGTTTCTGTAGCTATATCCAGCTTCACAATACACGTGGCCGCTAATTAGCTTAACGTATACCTGAAAGCCTTCAAAGCCATCTGTCTCTGTAGTCTCCACACTGGACCATAGTCGGCAAATGCTATATCTCTGAATCCTTCAGTGGCAAGCTCAACTGAGAGAAAATAGGTCAAATGATATAACACACCATTCACTTATATATTCCATGCTGTTCGATTTTAGATTTTGGATTGAAAGCTCTTTCCATTGTATTAGTTCCTCCATAATTAAATATGTACCAGAATAATCCTTTATATTGGAATATTAGGAGATGTTAAAAGCATTTAGGGTAGATCAGTGCTTACATGCTCTAGAATTTTCTAATAGTTTATAATCTATAATTTTATTTTTTATTAATTTCGTAACATTTGCATCAGCATGTGATCATTAAAATGTGGGTACAATGTAAATATTGAACAAAACTAAATGATATACTACATGATACGCTGTTTTGATTACAGGAAAAAATGTAAATAAAACTTAAAAAATAATAATCACACTTCCAGCTCTCGTCATCTCTCCCCGCAAATATCTCTTTCTTCTCAACCATGGCCTCATGAACACTCTCCGCAGATTTTAGAACAACGAACAAGCGTCCAAACCCTGTAAACGAACATAATTAATATTTAACTGAATGATGCATAGTTGATATAAATTTTAGGCTTCTGAAAAAATCAAAACACACAAAGTGTTATACGACTATATCACAATTTAATCAGAACATGAAAACTCAATAACCATACCATTTCAATATCTGAATCAAATGTAAATGTCAAAAAGTTTTGTTCAAGTACGGTTTGCTTGAACCCAAAAGTATTGTTTAGATATAAAAAGACAGATGCAAAGAAAAGTACCTAAATTAACAGTAAAAATGTCATCAAAGGACTCCCCGAGCTTGTTGAAGACAGCGTACCTTCGAGGTTCGTTTCTGAATGCTGTAAATAATATTTAGACATTCAACTATAGACAAAAATGACACAGTGAAGCTGAGGGTAGGGTGAGTGCCCGCCGTGCACCCCGCTTGCACCCTGCTCCCCTTCGTGCTATTGCTGGATGAACACAAGGGTCATTTTGATAGCCTAAACTCTCATTCCCTAAATACATAATTCTTAAGACCAACGTAAGGACCCATCTGATTGATATTTTTAACCTTATCTGATCAAAATAATGGCATTGAGTCTGATTTCATTACTTGTGTATTTGCTCTGGTTTTCAAAGATATCTCACCGAAGTAGTGCCCCAATATCGGCAGCTGTGGAGGTCCTGGCGGCAGTTTGTACTTCTTCCTCTGTAGTAATGACATCACCAACAGGAATACCGCGCTCCCGACCAAGACTGTCTTCACAGTAAGTAAACTCAACAAAGTCAACACGTACATCTTTCCTAAAATATTTGAATGCCACTTAAATACTGTGTTGCTTAAATATAACGGAAGGCGATGCTACTTCATGCACTCATTGTTTAGGTTAGATGATTCATTAAATATTAAATACCATTATCTGTTGTCATGGCGTTGTAAAAGAGTTTGTTATCATTTTTAACTTTTATGTTACGAGGCATTAAATGACTTTGTAATTCTGCACATGTAGTCTTTTTAACACTCTTTTCTTGAAATCGAACTCTTGGAAAACATGTCTTCAGAATTTAGTGCTATCCTTGAATGCACGAATTTTATTTCTAAACTGTCCAATTTCTTTATACAAATCTCGCTTTATATTTACCCCGTAATGCCAACGTTGCCTTCAAGTGCACTTCCCTAAGCCACCTGTTTCCAGTTCGCTTGCCAACTGCGCTCCAGCATCATCTGGGGCTGAGCTACAGCCTGGGGTCTTGTCCTCGGGTTATTTAGATAAGTTGCATCACGTCACGTTCACATGTTCCTATGACATACCCCCGACCTTCTTCTTGGCAGAGTTTGCACGCACTGGCTTGGTCCGACTTACACGATCAGTTACAAGCTCAGCTTCCAGCAATCAAGGCATGATTTGTTTTCAATTACCTTTACCTGGTTTTTACATGTGATATCATAATTTTTTGTTTAATCTACGTCTATTTTATGTATTTCTTTCTTTCTTTCTTTATTTCTTTCTTTCTTTCTTTATTTATTTATTTAAACAGTAACAAATCAAATCTTGCAAAGTGGGATATCAGCTAACAACTCACCGTGTGCGCCGAACTTTAGCCGTAAAGTGTTTGTTGTTTGGTATAAAAGCGTACAATTATGTTTAAGGGGACACATTGCATGTCTATCATCTTATGTGCCAAATATAAAGCTGCAGTTCTATGGCAAACTTAAATTCCGGTAAATAAGTTAATCGTTTATAAACATACTTTTAATTTAGTCATGAAAATGCGTGTTTTACCTACATTTTGTCATGCATCATACATATGTAATTGAAAACATGGTTAGTTCATTCATAGCCAAACGTTTTTATATTTAAGCATCTTTCTAAAAGAAACTACGGGAAAATATTTCTTGTGATATTCTGAGGTAGTTATGTAGGTGTTTTTAATATGAAATGTTGCTTGTACTAAGCATTTTTATGTAACGATATTGGTTATACGACACGTTTTTATACGACTGCTCATACGTCACAAGAGACCTTTTCATTAACGACATCCCAACGAAAATAAAATAAGTTTTCATTTTCAATCAAAGCTCTAGATGTTTTTTTCTATGAACATGTTTGAACAAAAATCCGTGACCAAAATACAAGGCAAATAAATAAACACTTGCAATAACGATTTCAAGAAAAGAAACTTCCGCTTTAGATCCAGAGGGCACATACCCTCGACTACTGTTTGTGATCAAGTTTGTGTGATAGTATTCTCAGTCCAGTAGCTTTTTATGTGCTATCACACTTTATATAACCCCGCCCCGCCAGCGGCAGGTGCTTTTTTTTCTCATATGGGGGTAAGGGGAAGAAAATGCTTACTTTATCATAATGGTAAAAGATATATCAATGATTTATATATCATTATGGAGGCAAAGAAAAGGACATTTAATTTCTTAATTCATAGATGCATTGACAATGGGTCAGAGGTCACATTATATATGAATTTTTCATACATTAGAATCAAAAAGTTTTTTTAGATATTGTTTGAATAAATGTTTTGGTATTTGGTGAATGGTTGTCTTATTTCCGAAAATTATGTAATTGAATGTGAACGTTGTAGTCAAAATACGCCCTATTTGAAGTCGGGGGTAGGGGAGAGAAAGTGCTTACTATATCAATATGGTAAGTGTGAGATAATACACTGTCACCCGAGCGATATATGCCATAACACCTCGAGCGTCAGCGAGAGGTGTTCATGGCATATATCGCGAGAGGGTGACAGTGTATTATTTAACATACATACCGAGACAAAATACAGTCATTTCATCCTAAAACACCCCTAAAACCGAATAAAGTGACCCTATATCACGCTCTAGGGATGTTATAGGAAATAAACTCGTCCACGTGCGCTGGTCACCTCCCGCCAAATTCTAACGTAATGTCTGACCAATTTGGTCAATTTTTGCTAAATACTTGTCATGGACGTTCAACTGGCGTGAAAAGTATTTAATCAATCGTCGACACTGACCATGCGCGTCTCAGCTGAGCCACACCCAGCTGGACCTGCTGCAGAAAAAAGATCCCAAGGCAAAATCTCTACTTTTAAGTGACATTTCTGATAAACAAGGAGCGTCGGACCGGAATATAGTAAAACTAATTTTTCACAAGTGCAAAAGAGAAAGAAATGTACTTTTTGGTGATATTTCTGACAACGAGGCAGTTTCGGAATATAGTCAAAAGCAAACGGATGTTTATTACAAGTTCATGGGAGTAATAATTCTAGTTTTCATTGTTATTCCTGACGACGAGGCGGTTACGGAATATAGTCACCACCAAACGGATGTTTATTTTAAGTTCACGGGAGTAATAATTCTAGTTTTCATTATTTCTGACGACGAGGCGGTTACGGAATATAGTCAAAATCAAACGGATGTTTATTTCAAGGCCACAGGAGTAATAATTCTACGTTTTGGTGACATTTTTACTACGAGGCGGTTTCGGAATATACATGTGTCAGAGTATGGAGCATGCTACATGTAGTTACAAGTTCAAAGGGAGAAAATATTTGATTTTTACTGATATATCTGATAAAGAGGAAGAATGAACAGCTTAAAAACAAAAGGTAAATAACACAATCCTTGTTTAAAAAGTTATAGATTTACAAATAATTTGTACGCACGTGTGGCTTAAATGTAAACTAATTCCCGTTTTCAAATCATACCCATATGATATGACTTAGTGTAATAAAATTATTAATAATTGTTAAACGTGAAATGTTTATGCTAGTTTTTTAAGAGTGTGAGAGATTAAAAATTTGTCTGCTGGTAGGTATATAACGCAAGCAACGTCACTATTCTCTTGATGCCAAGAAGGTCTAATGATCAATCTGTCTTTGACTTCCAGCATTTAAGAGACCTCGACTGATTTAACCAAGATGTAGTCGTGAAATTCTAGACTACATCGAGGTTAAATCCGAGTTTTCCGAGAGACGCTACGCAGAAATGTCGAGTGAAGCGAGATATTTTTGGGTAGCGGCTCGAGGTTGCCCTCGATCTTCACTGAAGCTTGTCTAAATGGACAGGCTTCAGTGATCATCGTATCGCCACGGTAACATAACATCCCTAGGTATGTATGAAAATATATACCAATGCTTTATATATATCATTATGGAGAAAGGGGATGGGACAATTTATAATGAATGCAATTAGTAAAGGGTAATTGCTGATTGGGAAAAGTTAAGAAGAGGTCATATTTTATGGATTTGCACTAAAGCAACTTTCATTTATATAGATCCACAGAATAGTCAGTCAGCAAAGCATTCCGCGTGTATTTATTTTAGGTTGTGACAGCTCACATATAGGTCTACTGGGTTCACCATACCTCATTCCATTATTTTTTCTTTTATTTCGAATCGAATGCAGGTTGGCATTCTTTTCCTAACAATGTTAGCAAGTTCTGCTCTAAGATGACTTCGTGGTTTGGGCCTTGTTACACTACCATCTGTTATTATCAATGTTTTAAAGCCTGTAATTTTCGCAGTACATTAATCGTGCACTGTGCTGCAGTGCTACCTAGACCTCAGGTTAAAGATAAATTCCAAACATACAAGTGTTCTAAATTGCATTTGCAGAGCAATAGCATCCAGGTTTCATTCAATTGTCCAAATCGATCATAAAAATAAACAATGCTTTGTCTAATGCCGTTCAGGGGGTGGCATCATAATCAACATAATGTTTCTAAAAAGCACTGTATAGGTTAAAACATTGCATGTAATCTTTGCACCAGATTGTTTTAAAACTATATTTATACTGAACGTTATTTTCTTTTCTGTACAATCAGCTTTTGTGGTTTCGGGCTGCAGGCTATCTCATACATCACTGGTTCGAAGTCCGGCTGGACACCTGGCGGGAAGCTCACCTTGAACCGGCGGAAAAACAACGCCTGTAAAAGAAATTGATAAATATTAATACATATACCTAACAAGTGGACATAAAAAATCATGAATAGAAACATAATATTACAATTACAATTCGAGGCGTACTGTCATTGTAAAAATCTATATCACAGTCAAGTCTAAAAATCCCGAGATTATCCAATGTGTAATACTCCTGTGTCAGTATATGTATTGCTAAAGCCATCCCCATTAATTGTGACTATTATTAGGCCTACTAACACGTAAGCCTCTCATAACTTCCATACATAGATGTACATAATGACATAATAAAAACAGCTCCATGTCATCAATTACCATGATAATTGTAAAAGAGGTCGTCCATATTTATCAACGTTTTTCATGTCTATACAAACTATACACTGGGGGAAGTGATAAATGTCCTCTTTACGATTTTGAAATAGGCCTATTAATATAAATGATGATCCGAAATTCCTGTCAGAAGTCATCATTTTTAGCTTTTCACCTTGTACGCTATAAAGGGGGAGAGGGTCTGCAAAAATTCTACCCTTCGTAGACTTGTGAAAATGAGGATAGAAATGGATGACCCCTATGTGTCCATTATTGATAAAGTAATTGTTATATAATTCATGTTTCCATCTAACACTATGTGAAAAGTGTACATAACAGAAGGGAATGCAATACAATTATATAAACTCCCTCTTACCATGATCGTCATAAGATTTGCCTTAGCAATTGCTTCTCCCACACATTTTCTCTTGCCTATGGAAAACGGCAGCCATATTTTATGATCCACCTCTTTTAAACTACCGTCTTTGTTTAAAAACCTCTCTGGCTTGAAAACCTCCGGCGATTCCCAATTTCTGGGATCATGGTGGATTGCCCATATGTTCGCATAGACAAGAGTGCCTTTTGGAATATCGTAGCCACCTAGATGAAAAAGCAAACGGTAAAACAACATATCTACGGTTCATTGGCAAGCATTTAACCAAACTGACTACATATTTGTATACCAGAGACAGTAACAAAAGTGCTCGGATTCTAATGCAATTAAAAGATATGATATGTCAAAAAAAATAATAATAACTGAGTGGGATCAGGTTGTAGTATTTGGCTTTGTGAAAGCATGCATATTGATTTTACTTTTATATGCAAGTAAATAAAGTTAATATCCAACCTAGCTTGGTGTCACGGATTGTCTGATGACGTAAACCTGCTGGAGCCGCTGGGCGCATGCGCAATACCTCTCTCTGAACAGCCTCGCAGTAATTCATCTTGTTTCTGAAGTGACGGAGTTCTCCAAAATCGTTTCCTGCAGGTTAAGCGTGGAAAAACTAACATAGTAGCTATTTTTGCAAAATACAATAATGGAATAAAGGACACACACACACACACAATAACTGAGTGCGGATACGCAAGCCTTTATATATTTATATACTATTTTTAATTGAGAAATGCGTGCCTCTTCAGACATAACACTTCTTTCTAAATTAGGATGAAATAGCGAGAGATGAATGTTTACCTAAGCCGTCTAACTCTTTGTGTATCTTTGCCTGGACTTTTGGATTATCTGCCACATACATAGCAATCCACTTCAGCGTGTCGGATGTGGTTATTGTCCCAGCTGCAAGATATTTTTCTGCTTAGACAACATAGACATTGCATATTTATTTTGGGCGTCACATTGTAATTGAACAAAATTAGAAGTGGGTTCAATTTCTATCCCATTTATTATTAGCTATCATAAGTGTGTTATATAAAAAAAGAAACAATGGTTAAATAAAATGAATGAATCACTAAAATTTATTAAAATGGATTTTTCATTGACTTTTGTATATTCAAGATAAAAACTAAGGTAGAAAAAGATATTTCGCGTCTGGAAACAATAACCTTGTTATCCATAATTAAGAGGTTTTTTTCTTTATGACTACAATGGAGACAGATAAAGTTTGAGGTATGTATCTTAGAAAGGGGTCTTAATCGCAACCTCCTTTGGGTAACAAAGTAATGTAGTAACCGTGGTCATGGACGAGGTGGGTAATGTTATAAGTGATAATGGCTATAGTATAAAATATTTCTGTAGATTGTTCAGACTGTGCTCTTATTTATAATGATATGCTCTTTCAACAATATCTATAATCACAATTATTACCAGCCCCAGGTTGTCGAAAAACCTTATGAATTAGACTAATAGTAACAGTACGAATTAGAGTGTAGGAAACAGCTGATGAAAATCTTTCCTAAAGAATGTGCCATGTTGGAAATTTAATATACCAAAGAAAATATCCATTATGGTGTGAAGGATGCGGAGATCAGAAAGCGACTCCCTGACGTTGTCATCACTTTCAGCTGTCAGCTCCTCTTTCAGCAGCAAAAGGTGGTCCATAATGTCTCTTACATCATCTTTAAAATAAAACGTAAAAAAAAACTGCTAGTTGGATGTGTATTTTCAATAGAAATATCTATAGCATATGTCAAAGTAGCCTGTACTACACAGTAAATATGCACCAAGATAGTATAACTGCTCTCTTAAGTAATATAATCATTTTCTGCTTTCGTAAGAATGCTCCATACAACAATATTCAATCATCTCTACAATTTGCGTATGTAAATTGTAATTTCTAAATATGTTGCTAACCCGTATTTAATGTTGCCTTATGCTCCTTCAGTTTGGCCTTGTGGAAGTCAATCAGTTCTTTCATGATTCGTTTCGTAGTGAGGGATGATGGGATAGGAAAATGTTTCAAGACAGGGATGACGTCAGCGGGAATGAGGCCTCCAAAGACCTTTTCATTGCTTTCGTCAACTTTGCTCTTCAGCCAAACAAATTCAGGCCCGTCAATTTTGTAGCTGGAAAGGATTAAAGTAGAAGGTCTTATAGTTTCCGACAAAATTTAGAAAGTTACAGATCTTCTTGCAATCAATCCTATAAAGATTCCAATCAATAATTATGTTCAATTCTTTCTCAAATGCCATTATTGATCAAGTGTTTCGATACAAAATCTAATCAGTGGATTACAAGATACAATTAACAAATTATATATATTTACTAAAGCAACTATATTGCGACAAAAAGTATTGAAGTATTTTTTTTACATGGCAATTACCAGTACATATACACAATCTACACTGCAAATAAAGCAAGTAAAGTGATTAGAGTTCACGCAAGGAGTCTTTTCATTTTTTAAGAAATGTACATGTTAATTTTCCACAGATTATTATGTGTTCCCTAAGATAAATTTTAAAAACGAATGTGTGTAAAGCATGTTATTTAGACATTACTGTACCTTTTCCCAAACGCCATCCTGCAGACAATGTTGAAGATAAGAAGTCGAATGTGGACATCGATGTCAAAAGGCTCGGTCTCTTTTTCAATCAAGGTGGCGACTTCCTCAAAAGCGGATCTCGTGAATGATTCCAATTTATCACTTGCTAAGTAGGTCCTGCATGTAAATGACGAAAACGATGAACTACCATATGTCGCTAAAACTGAAGTTCTGTTTTGTAACTTAACACTACAACCCAAGCTCCATCACGGCTTTTATCTGTATGTCCACGAAATATACTAAAGTACCATCTGTATATACGGTAATTTTTCTATCAAACAATTCGTGTGACCACTATTTTGATTAATATACCTGAAAGCCTTTAAAGCCATCTGTCTCTGTAGTCTCCACACTGGACCATAGTCGGCAAATGCTATATCTCTATATCCTTCGGTGACAAGTTCATCTGAAAAAAGTGAACAACTAGTAAATATAGGTAAATAATTTTCGGTCACACCAAATGAACAAACACTTATCTGGTCTGAAACTTACCAACTAACACACTATCCATATAATAATAATAATAATAATAATAATAATAATAATAATAATAATAATCCATCAAACTTAATATTGTTTTAAGTGATTTTTCTTCGACTTGACTCTAAATGTAGGCTATATTGTACGACCAATGGCATTTCATTGCATTACATCATCAAATAAGTATAATGCGTTTGAATTTCATTTTGGAACATAACATGTTCTGATGAAACTGCGTATTCTTTTTAATTCTTTTAAAATCTTATTCACATTTCCAGCCCTCATCATCTCTCCCTGCAAATATCTCTTTCTTCTCAACCATGGCCTCGTGAACAATCTCCGCAGATTTAAGAACAACGTACGATCGTCCAAAACCTGAAAATGTACTGATATATTATTGATATGAATTTTAATTTCTAGCCTTCTGAAATAATTTAAAATCCCTACAAGGTGATATACATTGCAAGCTATCCAAATACAGCAAAACTAAATATGCATACCATTTCAATATCTGCATCAAAATAAATGTTGAAACGTTTTTAAAAAGTATTCTATTTAAGTCAAGAGCCATTGTTCAGATACAATTGCAGAAACAAATGAGTACCTAAATTAATCGTGAAAATGTCATCAAAGGCCTTTCCGAGCTTATTGAAGACGGCATACAGTCGACCATCGTTTCTGAAAGCTGAAATAGTATTCACATATTCTACAAACGCAAAGAAAGTATCTCCGAATCTGTCGGACACTTGATGGCCCGTTTTTTACTTGAACTTTGTCAAAACATTTTCAAAGTTTATTAACTGTATGATCAAAGTACTTTCCAAGTATGTCAAAATGTTGAAAAAGGGTGAAGAGCTTCAATTCTCAAGAAAGATGCAATCAAAAACGTTTTACAGGACTAAAGAATGAATAAAAAAATGGTTATCACAACTACAAAATTGTCAAAATCTTTTCCGAGAGCTTTCGGCCATTACCCATGAACTCAGGTGGATACTCTCAGGCCTGATGAATACATGAAGTTATTTTATGACGGACACTGAAGAAACTCTCTCAAAATAAGTTTTTACTAATTTTATTCGAACTTATCGGTTTTTGCTTTGTTAATCTTTGGTTGCATTCTTAAGTCTAATCTAATCACAAGAAAGGCGGTTATCAACTTTATTCTCCATCTAATTATGTATTGGTCTGGTAACCAAAGATATCTCACCAAAGTAGTGTCCCAGTATCGGCAGATGTGGAGGTCCTGGCGGCAGTTTGTACTTCCTCCTCTGTAGATATGACATCACCAACAGGAATACCGCCATCCCGACTAAGACGGTCTTCACAGTAAGTAAACCCAACAAACTCAAGAGGTACATCTCTCCAGTATGCTATCTCCTAGGGTAAATTCTATGAAGGTAACTTAAGATATGTTATATTCCGTAAAAGGACAATATGCCAAGCAAAATTCAAAAGGACAAATTAAACAAAGTTGATTTCATTGCTTCAATAGTAAAGCCTAACTTTTGTTGTCAATTCTGGTCATAGAATTCATGGATAAACCAGATGGATAAAGAAACATAAAATTTTAATGTTGGAATATGTTTGCATTGTATCTGTTATGATTTGGTTTTAAAAACTTAAATGAATGTTTTAAGGCATTATGTTCTATGTTCTTTAAAAGCCTGCTTACCTATAATCGAACTCATTTACATATCCTTGAAAGCTTTAATTTCTTACCTCCGCCTAGGATTTAGTTTGATTGTTAATCTGCCTGCTTCTTGGCAACATTTTGCAAAAATTTATGGGCGGGTTTTGATAAACTTTTCAGGATAGACAAGCAATGTGGTAAAATGTTACTTAGATTTTGGTGATGATCAATTAATTAATTAATGGTAACCTTTAAGTTAATTACTTGTCTTGGCTTAGTTCTCCACTCTCAGTGCATCACACTGAGTGCTTTTCTAGTTTCTTTATATATACCAACCTTCCTTTGCTTACGTTGCCTTCAAGAACACGTCTCTGTCACGACAGCCTGCCGCCTGTTTGCCGTGTCACACTCCCTGTGCTACAGTATCATTCAGGTCCTAGCTGTCTGGGGGCCTTGTCCTCAAGTCATTAAGATAAGTTACGTAACGACAGGTTGAAAAATTCACATGCTACTTTTGCACGCCGTTGCTAGGTCAAACTTGCAGGCCTAGTTACAAGCTTAGCTCCCAGCAGCATTATACATGATTCGTTTTATTAATCTAATTTATACTATCGTTAGTTTTCATTCTTTCCATTTCTATTTTTATTCATCCATCATTTTATTTTACAGTAGTCGACCCACTAGTAGTTCAAACCTTGCGGAAGTGGTACATCAGCTGATAATTTACCGCGTAAGTCGAAATTTGGTAGTAAAGTGTTTGTTTCGATGAGAGCATACGTTTACTTAGACTGGGCTCCCATGCCTAGATCGACCTAACTGGATCGACCCATCTCCAAGAGGTTTCTCGCTAAATCGCTTTTAGTTTAAACGGCTTATATGTCTGGCACACTGACTGAAGCCGCTAAACGATAGTAAATTACCCTCTAACAGCTTCAGTGGGCGTACGAGATATCTAACACCCCATTTCCATAGATTTTTAGATCGATCTATCCCTGTGGGGAGTCTCACTAGATTACTGTCAGCTTGGCCAGCTTAAGCGTCTGTCCCGCCTACTAAAAGCTTTAAGGGGGTAATTAACTATGGTGTCCGCTGACTGCAATTTAGCCTGAACCCCCAGGGAGTTATGTCGATCTAAAACTTAATCTTTAGATCGATCTAAATCTCTGGGAAAGCACCCTAAGCCGCTTAAGTTGATAGAAATTTAGTGAGAACCTCCTTGGAGATAGATCGATCCAAAGTTAGTGCGATAGTCTCTGGGAATGGTCTCTTATACCCCTTGTACATGATATTGTATGCCCATGATCTTATGTCCCAAATAGGCCTACATAGTTTTTTAGACAATCAAAAATCCTGACCCTTCACCAAAGGGCCTCTGTCGCAAGATTGTCTCATTGAGAGTAAACACGTTAAGTGTATTTTAAGTAGGCCTATTATTACGTTAGATGTTTATTGTTATACTGAATATGTCTTTATTCAGGAGCGTAGGACGCAAATTTGACACGAAATTGATTTTTTTATTATTACACCAAAGGCTGTGAAAAAACATTTCACCGAATGTAAAGTTCAAAATGAGTTACTCGGATGTTTTGTGATCTGGATTTTTATTGCTTATCCATCATTTTATTTTACAACTATTATTTACTTTGCTTGACTGTTATTTTATGTCTTATATTACTGTTTTTGGGCGATAAATACGTATATAAACCGCCGGTATAAATATGAATTAATATTGCAGCTAGGAAACACATCGTAAGTGGGCTGGGCTGGGCTGGGCTGGGAAAGGGGGGTGAGCATGGGCTGCCCATTCAGAAAAAACGACGTACATTTGGCTAATATCATTATATCATTGGGCAGGTACCCTTACGCCCCCCCCCCCCCCCCCCCCCCCCCCCCCTACCCCCCCCCCC